TGTGACCTTATATAGAAATAAGTTAGAGGTGCTTCAACATCCCTTACTCTAGAAGTCATTCTTCCCTGGCAGTATCCCTACAAACTTGGGGGGAGGCCTGAGCAGAAACAAAATGCTGCCACAAGTAGTAAAACCTGTTCAATATTAGAGAACCTTGATATGCTAATATAAGCAAAAAGAGTTAAACTCTTCCATGCTGTGGGTAAACCCAGCCCTCAAAATAATAGGGAACCTACCTTCTGCAAGGCATCTCTTCCTTTTGTGTGTCCATTCCTTTATTATGCAGAGATGTTTGAGGGGAGGAGAAGATGAGGTTGACTCCTCACCCCAGCTTGTGTGTTTGGGACAAAGCAGTGCCCTGTACAAGATAGTATAGTATTATCTTTAAATGGAGTTGTATTGATTGATTATATAACACCAGTGAAGGCACTGTTTGTACTCTAACTGGAGGGGGAAACTCCTCCCCACCTCAGAAATAAAAGGAATTTTCCTCTAAATGGAAACTTACCCCAGCAGCACCAATTTGAGAAATGAGGAAGAAACATGGTGATTCAGAAGAGAGAAAAAAAAAATCTACAAAGGATATGGGACCCTTATTTGGCAAATCTATTTCTTTAATCATCTTGAAAAAGCTCAGTGCTGTATATTCAGACAAATGGAAAACATTGCAAGTTTGAATCCAGTGAATGGTGGTCATGTATATAACATTTAGCCATGATGGATTACCAGAGTAAGTAGGATTTGATTTCAGCAACACCGTTTCAGCCTTCCACACAAATATCCAGAGCAGTAATCAAATAACTAATCTCAAGGAAACCATTAATAAACTGCTTCCAATGAACAAACTTGGCTTTCAACCTGTCTACCATCCTCTATTGCAGTAATGCTATATAGAGAGCAAAATTCAACTTTGAGTTATGCTGGCTTTTGGACGTCATAACCTTGGTTTCTTCGTTTTCCTCCAGCTTTGGTGAAGCTTGCTAGAGTGGAGAGACTGGCCCTGGTAAAAGAATACTTCAAGATTTATAATTTGAGGCACTCTGCATTGTTGCGATGGGAGGGATGGAAAATATAGCTGTAATTTAAAAAATCTGTGTCTGAAGACTACCATACTGTCCAATATACTGAGAGAGTATCGCTGTGCTCTACCTCCCTGCTGTACAGTTTAATTTGTAGATTAGATTTGAGCAGGTGCAAATGTTGGGGGATTTACTGGAAGGATCCACAGATCTCACACACACAAACACAGCTGAAAGTTAACCAATCCTGCATAATCATAATCTTTTAGCTGTTACCATGGGAACTACAGTTCCTCATTTAGGTAATTTTTTTAAAAGGATTCTTGTCATTCTAATTCCTGCTTTCAGTCTTTTGAAGTTGTACCCTTACCAAATTAGCTGTTTTCAGTTAGTTTCAGTGTACTGAAGCCACAGACTGCCCACAGCAAGATGGCCTCCAGGTTTCTTTAACTGAAAGTGATGCTACCAGCCCTCATTGCTTCCAATGGCTGAAGGTAGCTTGCTCAGGGAACATGGTGGCTGCCTTAGCTGAGGAATAAGCAGGAGAATGTGGGAGGTGTTGAGAATGGGATGATGGGAGCAACAGGGAGGGAGAATATGTCAGGAATCAAAGGAATTTTAGTAGCAGATACAGGGAAATGTGGCATGGCAGAGAAGGAGACAAATATGTAGCAGAATAAGAAGGAAATATGGGGAGGCAAATGGATGCGAGTGATAGGGACAGAAGACTTGAGGGAGATCATGGAGAGAGAGAAGAGGCAGTGGTTCTAATTCAGTCCTGTCCAGGTAGAGAGAGGGGTACAATGGTAGTTCCCCACACCTAAGGTGAAAGGAGAGAGTAAGCAAAATCCTTTCCAGGTAGTGAACAGTTAGGTTTAAACTGTGTGCATCTAAGGTTGAATTTTAGCTCTGTGATGATTGCACGCAAATTGGGGGCATGCAGCTTCTCTCTATAAAGGCAAAAAACCCAACAACATGTGGCAGGTTTTTTTAAAAAAATATACTTTGACTGACTTAAATAAGGTGTAAAAAAATCTTTTTCTTTTGACTCATGACTTTTGAAATTATTGCCAACTCCATGCAATTTATTCATTACATGTTTGTACAATACGATCACAATGGGCCCTGATTTGGGCCTGAAGGTGCTACGGTAATTACAGAAAGGAAGAGAAACTTCTCTCTGGACTGAGTATTTTTTTCCCCTCCTGTTCTTCACTCCCCCTCCCCCCAGTCAAAAGAAAGTATCTTGTGAAAAGAGTAAAAGAAATTTAAATGTTTGTCTACTTTTCTTTACCCAATGTAAATACACAGCATGCATATTATATATAAAATAAGTTATCCTAATACTCGTTGATCCTGTCTATAGACACACATTGGAAAAAGCAATACTTCACTTTTCAGCCCTTACATTTTAGACTTGCAGAATGGTGCTAGGACAGCCACATAGCAGCAGCATATTGTGCATGTATTTTGATAGCGTACTATGCCCGTGTAGTTCCACTTAATAGATTTTTATAAGGCAACTGAGCTGTTTTATGCTTTGCACTCAATGCTTTTTGTTGTTGTCCATATTTGAATTACTGGTATATTGGCTATGAACAATTGCTGAGCCATAATAATTTGCTTAACAGAAGTACTAACATAACTTTTCATAGATTCTGAAGCCAGAAAGGACTCCTGTGATCATTTAGTCTGACCTGAATTTTACTTCCCTGAATTAATTTCTTTTTGAACTAGTGCATATCTTTTAGAAAAACATCCAAACTTGATTTTAAAAATTGCCAATGATGGAGAATAAAGCATTGCCATTGGTAAGTTGTTCAGTGATTGTTTATCCTCACTGTTAAAAATTTACACTTTATTTCTGGTCTGAATTTGTCTAGCTTCAGTTGCCAACCATTGGATCAGGTTACATCTTTTGTGTGCTAGATTGAAAAGCCCATTATCAAATATTTGTTCCCCATGTAAGTACTTAGGGGTGACAAATCAGAGTCTAACTTTCAGTTTAAGCTAAATAGATTGAGCTCCTTGAGTCTGTCACAATAAGATATGTTTTCCAACTGTTTAATCATTCTTGTGGCTCTTCTCTGAACCCTGTCCAATTTATCATCATCTACCTTGAATTGTTCACTCCAAAACTGCAGACAGTATTCTAGGAGCAGTTGCATCAGTGCCAAATACTAAAGTAATATAATCCTTCTACTTCTGCTTGAGATACCGCTGTTTATATATCCAAGGATCACATTAACCCTCTTGGTAACAGCATCTCTTTGGAGCTAATTTGCTGCTGATTATCTGCAATGACCCACAGGAATTTTTCAGTCGCACTGCTTCCCAGGATAGAGCCTACATGTATGTATGACCTCCGTTCTTTTTTCCCTAGGGTATGACTTCATATTTGGCAATATTGAAATGCGTTTTGTTTGCTTGTGCCCAGTTTACCAAACCATCCAGATTACTCTGAGTGACCTGTCATATCCATTTTTTTTTACTACTCCCCAATCTTTGTCATTTCAGACTTTGTGTTGATATTATGTGCCCTTCCAAGTATTAGGGTTGCCAACCCTCCAGGATTGTCCAGGAGTCTCCAGGAATTAAAGATTAATCTTTAATTAAAGATTGTCATGTGATGAAATCTCCAGGAATTCGTCCAACCAAAGTTGGCAACCCTGCAAATCATTGATAAAAATGTTAAATAGTGTAGGGCCCAGAATAGATCTTTACAGGACCCCACTAGAAAATGCTGCATGATTATCTGTTTACAGTTACATTTTGATCCTTGTCAGTTACCTAATTTTAGATCCATTTAATGCAGGCCATGGTACATTCTGATTATTTAAAAAAACAAACACCCCCCCCTCCCCCCACACTAGAAAAATACAAAATTAACAAGTCAGTTGCCTTGCAGGAGTCTTTAATTTACAAGTCTTCAAGCCTTATAGTGTAATATAATACATTATCTTATTTCTGCTATAAAGACTGAAGACTTTTGCTGGATATGAAAGGTAAAAAAATCAAAAGTATGTGTGTCTAATTTTCAGAAATAACTTGTGTTAAAAATTTTACCTTACATTCTACATACTATAATTTCTATTGTTCTGGCAAAAAAGATGGTAACTTTACTGTATTTCAAGGCTTTCCTAATTTCTTAGCTTTAGGAGGGCCCAGTGCTCCTACTTGTATGTGCCTGTGCCTCTTGCCGTTTCTTGTAAGCTTTTATTGCACCCCCAAGTGATTGACAAACTGCTTTCTTCCATGTTTCTTCTTGAACTGTACATTGTGGACCACAATTAATAGATTGTCTCATAGACTGCCATGGGAAGAGGAGATAGTTACATGACCTCTCTGTAGGAACTATGGCAATTGCTTAGTCAGAATAGTAGCATTAGGAATGTATTTTTAATGTATTTTAATGAGACACAGAAGGAACCAGTAACATATCATCCAGCTCTTCATGGACCACCAGCAGATTCAAGACCACAGTTTTGGAATCTCTGCTGTATGCAGTATCACTGGTGAAGACAGACTTACTGAAATCATATCTTTAAATTACTTTTAAGGACAAGAAGTATTGTTTATAAAGTTAAATGAAGTACCAAACTTTTGCATTCTCTAATTTTGGAGATTTTAGATTCAGAAATCTTTCACATGAAATGAACCACTAAGCCATAACTATTGTCATACTAGAGCTCTGCTTTGCAAATAGGACACTTTTAATATATGTCATATTATTATGAATTCAAAACTAAAGTTAGTGATGTGTATATTTTGTCCTTTCTTTTGTGATCAATATGTTTTGGATCCTGGGAATATTTTTATAATGCAGATTGTTTATAAGGCCCACTTTATTTGTAATGTAGAAGCTTTTAAACTCCCTCTCTTCCCATCCCTTTCATATGTGATTGTCTTTGAAATTATGGCCTGGGTATTCTTTTTTAGTCACAGCAATTTAAATAGTATCACTATATATTTCTATGGCAGCTCACCAAGTCTCATCGACAAGGTCACATGGTGAAAGTAGACTGGCTGGACAGACTGACCTTTAGAGAAATAGAAATGATCAATGAGGTAGGTCATCATATATCAGCTTTATAATGGGTTTTGGATCTTGTTGATATGGAAGCCTTGGCTTGCTTGTGAGACTGTAATTCAAATGACTTGCCCTATTTTTCTTCTCTCTCTCTTGTGCACATTAAAGGAAGAAATCAATCTAAAAAGAATGACTTTCTCTGGCATTAGTGATACAGAGGTAGCTGAAAATAGGCAGATTTAGATATTCGTTAACTTGGCTATAGGTGCTTAAGACTGTTAGAGCATCATGTGGTGGGGTGGAATTGAAGTTGTCACAACTTCCTTCAGTAAACTTCAACCCATATAAACTCAGCATTAAAGTTATAATCATTTTCTAATCGACTCACTACTTTTTGTTTAAATTGATATTGGTTTGGGAGGGAAAATATTGCATCTGGAGACTTTTTTGATTAAATCAATTGCTTATTTGTTTTTAACCTACAGAGTGAACTCCTGCCCCCAATTCAGGAAGGAAGTGTTAACCCATGAAGCCAAAAATTATCTCCTTAAATGGCCTGTGCTCTGAAAGGTGTATAGAATGACCACCTTACTCAACACATCTGCTCCCTGTGTTGACAGCTACTTGCTTGTGTAAGGCTATGTCTATACTACTCAGCTTTTAGTGACACGGCTGTGATAAAAGGAGGGCAGTGTCGCGCTCTTGTCGACAAAAAAACTTCCACCCATAACTAGTGGTGTTAATGTCGTCCGCAGGAGAGCACATCTGCTGAGAAAGTTCTGTTCACACCAGTCCTTGTCATCCACAAAACTTTTGTCTTTTGGGGAAAGTGTGTGTGGGGTTGTTTTTTTTTTTAACACCTCTGAAGGACAAAAGTTTTGTCTTTTACTTGCCAGTGCAGACAAAGCCTAAGTTATGCTTTTTTTGTTTTTTTTAAAGCTACTTGGCATTTCAATGAGATCTGCAGAGATAATGATTTGCATTTCTATAGCACTTTCCACTGGTGACTCTGAAGTACTGTGCAAATTCTAACCTTCAATGAAACATACCTGTTTTTACAGAAGGGAGAATTAGCACGGAAGAAGTGATTTTACCCTACGTTAAGTTGGCAGTCTGTGGCAGAATCCTATCTTCTGATTCTCATGACTGTGCTTTAATTCCAAGACCAACCTCCCTTTCCTGGAGAGTCAATACCTCCCTGGGTGGGCGGGCTAATTCTCTTGTGAGTTGTGCAGAGCTGTTTACCAAGGTTCAGTAGTAGAATTTTTATTCCTGGTGTTGATGTGCGAATCAGAAACAACACACCCCAAAACTCCAAGATCCCAAGTTTTATTTGCAGTGTTAGCAATTAGAAAACTTGTAAACTGAGCGGACTATATCTTGAAGCCATTGGGGGTCAACATAGCACCTTTATAGTGCAACTTTAACTCTGTTGTTCCATTGGATCACTTAAACTGTTTCCTCTTCTTGAATGCAAATGTTTGTTGTGGAGTGTGAATGACAATATATAATGCCAGAGGAAGTTTTTGTCCTAGAGTAAGTAGTTATGTGAAATTATAAACTGAGTAATTGCCACAACATCTGATAATTTGATCCATCACTTACAGCACAAAGGAAATATGGTTATTACTGTTAAGAAAATGCTGAAGATTGATGCTCTTCTTTAATATACAATCCACATTTTTAGCCTTTTTTCTTTTCAGAGTGAAAAACGGAGTTCTAATTTTATGTACTTGATGATTGAGTTTCGGTGTGTCAAGTGTGATGATAAAGAATATGGAATAGTTTACTATGAAAAGGTATGTGCCTTGCAGGTTTTATGATCTCCTTTAGGAAGAAAAAAGCAAACTTGCAGCAAAAAAAATTACAGGTTTTCCTGCTGAGATGAAATATTTTTTGCAAGATAGCAGTAGACAGCTGTCAGTGGCAGCTGTTTATGTACATACAAATCAAATAGTATAGCTACAACAAGATTACAGAAGTCAATCATTCATGTAATGCAGTTCAAGATTACAGAATTTAATACGTGCAAGTGATTAAAAACTTTTTGATTTATTGTTCCCCAAATCAAGTAGTACTTTCAGAGTAGTTTTATGTAAAAATAGTTCTTGGATTGGGATGAAGAGATCTACATGTCTTCATTAGTAGACTTGATACAGGATTGGCTTATCAAAACTTTGCACAAGAGCTGTGCCAATAGACAGTCTCATTTGTCTGAGCGAATAATGGAGATTTATTTCCACATATTGATTGGTATATTCTAAGACACATTTTGATACTTTGAATAAGTTTTCACGACAATAACAAATAGATGAAATCTCTGCATTCCTCAGTATTATATAATATTTTGCATTTATGTAGCATCTTGCTTCTAAGGATCTCAGGCCAAACGTTAACAAACTTCCCCAAATAACTTGCAAGGTAAATAAGTATTATTATCCCCATTTTACAAATGGAAGATGAAGGTAAGTGGTTAAGTGAATTTTCCAAGACCACATTGCAGTTTGAAAAGCTGGGGTGAGAATCTGGATTTTCAGATTTTCATATGCTTTAGCCACAAAACCATCCAACTCTCCTACCTTGATGATGTTTTTTCTCAGGTAAGTGTATTTGTGGAGGCTGTCTGATTGCAGTAATTTGTATTTGCTTACCTAGTATAGTCACGTCACTTTTAATATCTTGTTCCATGGTCTGTAGAAAAGGTATGATCATAAGGTTCATAACAGGCATTTGCTCATATAGATTGGATATTATAAAGTGTTGTGTTTGTATACAGATGTTGTATCATGATATCAGCTTTTCTGCTGCTCCCTTTGTCTATGATCTTTGAAGTGCTGCTGTTGCATTTGAATGATGCACTTCAGAGTGGAATGATGGTTATGGAACATGTATGTTTTTTGCCCCCTACATGCACCGTTGATTGTAGTGGGAACTGAATTTGTGCTGTCTTAATGTGTTGTGTATATTTTTGTTGTTATTGGGAGAGAGAAAGCTTGGTTTTAAACCAAACAAGTAGAGGTGATCAGAAAAATTCCAATGACACATTTTTTCATTGGAATTTTCCAATTTGAAATAAAAATGGCTCCTGGACACTATTTGATTTCAATGAAGTTCTGATGGAACCCGGACAGGGGTTTGATGAAACCTGTCATGACTCCATTCCCTTTCACAGAGAATTTAGAAATCTTTGGGTTTTCATTCTGAATTGGACCAAAACCAAATTTTGAAACTGAAATCCTCTACGAAATGGAATTACTTTGCTCTGCACAGCTCTGCAAACAAGCTAGGAAATAGTCTTAGAAGCATGAAGAAGAAATATAATCAAGGTATAAAACTGGCTTACTAAGCATTATAAGATAATTAGGTGGCTAACGGCACATCTTAAAAGTAGAAATACCACAATTTGAAGGACTTGTTAAAAAGCTACTTCGCACAAATTCAGGACCACTTTTCTAGAAACAGCAGAAAACAGTCCATAAATTAGTTGCCTGTCTTCTCAAGTTTGTTATGCTTCCACTTAAAATATAAAGATCACCTATTGAGCATATAGAATCTAATGGAACTTGGGTAGGTTGTCACCTGTCTCTGAGTGATAGTCTAAGTGAAAATTACTTGTCACAGTTGTGTTGATAGATTTGTTTTTTGGTGTTGTGACAGAGAACCAGCCTGTTAAACAGCTGCTGATAGAATCTGAGATTCTGTGACTTAACACTCAATTACTATATATAAAATCAAGTGGCAGTGGCCCCTTCTGTATTTTCTATCAATTTAATTTTAATGCAGTATTTAAAATGCGAGGAATGCCAGTCTGCAGGTAGCAAGAACACAACTTCCAATTTCCCTTTTAGGCAAACATCACTCACTCTGGAAATATCACTGTGTGAATTCCAAAATGCAAGTATCTCATCTCTATGGGTAAATGAACTCCAGAATTTTTCATGAACATGTATTTTCATATAGGGTTCAAGTGAAAACAACATTGTATTGGATAAATAGGGCAGTTGCAGAGCCAGATCCATTTAAAGGATTTTTTCATTAGAATATCTTCCCCAGTGTTTAAAAAAAAATGGCTTTTATCAGTCTCCGAAGCTTTGCCTGTGTGTCCATCTAGGTTCTGGATACAGATAGTTGTATCCTGCTGGTACACCTTGGAACCCCGGTTTAACTAACCCCATAGTATGAGATCAATCGAACCCCCTATTTGTTAGTGTTTTAGAAACTGATAAATACTGTAATTTCAAAGAGGTAGAGCAGAACCTTGCTTGAGCAACACTTCGCTTTACCGTAACACACTATAATCTGCAAAATTGGCAGTCTCTCTCCACCTTTCATCAAAGAATAAATAATGGAGAGTAGTAGTGAGGTCTTACATTCGTAAAAATGGTGGTTTTGGAATATAGTGGAGTATCTTTAATATTATGCTATAAAATATTTAAACCAAACTCAAAACTAACTCTGTATTCTTATGAGGTTTGGCCTCACATTTGTTTGAGACCTCCATGGCAAATTAGCAGGTAAACAATTGTTGGCATGGATTATTGAGATTACACATTCAGGGACACTATAATAGATATTGATGTTCTTTGAGTGAAATAGAGGGGTCAGAGTTGCACATTCCCTATCCATTTGAAAGGCGGGCAAAACTGCCAACATCCTTATTCTGTTGACTGATGGCATTCTGTCTGTCTCCAGGGTATTTCAGAGAATAGCTGTGTTTCAGAATAGGCTATCTTTAATGAGAGAATTTGGCCCATGAGAGCAATGATAGAACTCAATCAACTTGCAAATTCTTGTTACAGTTTAAAGGTTTTTTTGTGCTAAAAAATAATGAAATTGTAAAGACAGTTTCCTGCTGAATAATATTTGAGCTGAATAACTAAAGTAAGCAAAATTAGATTATTCTGGGTTTCACGTTCAATTTATTTTAGGTGCAATCTAGAAAAATCGGTGGGCTGACCTGTTAAGTAAAGTTTTTGCTTTTTATTTTTTTTTTTAGTTTGACTTTACTGTAACAGAACAGCATGGTGGTAGAAACACTTCACTTTTTTGTTTTTAACTAAAATATTCAAAGCTGATGAAATCTTATAAAAAAGTGAATTCTTGGCTTTCAAATCACTAGTTGAGCACTAGGGCTTGGAACAGTTTACTGCTATATCAAAGTGAATTCTTGGTATTTTAGGTCTTTATAAGATTGCCACTGTTATAAATCATGAAGAAGTTGGCTGTTTCTTTTTTCCAGTGGTATAAGATTTTTTTTTTAGCCTTGGGATGCAAGGGATGTTAGACCTAATGATTGTATTGCCTTTTTCTCACCTAAATTTATGATTTTTAGTAGCCAGTGTCTCATCTGTGGTTGTATATGAAGGGGGAGATTTTTCAAAGGTATAAAGGAGAGTTAGGCTCCCAACTTCCACTTGGTCAGTGGAGTTTGGGCACCTCTCTCCCCTTGGGGCCTTTGAAAATCTCCTGTTAATGTTTTCTACCATCTTAAAAGATAGAATTCGAGGCTTTCAGGTGATATGAAATATTGATTTCTAGTTCTGGAATTCTCCAGAATAAGGCTGATTAAAGTCACAATTTAATTAATGGATAAAAAGCAAGACAGCGGCCGGAATGTTTTGTTGTTGTTAAGAAGCAATACCTTGTGACCTGACAGGTATACAAAAGAATGGTTTACACCACTGGAGAAAACGATGCCCAATTAACCAATAAAAAACCCATCCATTTCTAAATTAGCTTTGTGAAGTACTAGCTCTAAAAACCATCACTGGTCCCTAGCAGGTTCTTTTAAATAATCCAGGGCTGAATTTAGTATAGTAACTCCTCACTTAACGTCCTCTCGCTTAATGTTGTTTCAATGTTACATCCCTGCTCCATTACAGAACATGCTCATTTAAAGTTTTGCAATGCTCCCCTATAACATAGTTTGGCCACAGCTGGCAGCTCCCTTATGCTCCCCCCCAGCGCCTGACGGCGGACCCCTCAGATCAGCGCCTTCTCGCTGATCCCCCCCGTCTCCTGCCCACGGCAATCAGCTGGCTTGCGGCATTCAGGAGGCTGTGGGGAGGAGCGAGGATGTGACACGCAGCCACCCCCCTCCCTCTCCTGGCTACTGAACGCCGCAAACCAGCTGATTGCTGCAGGCAGGAGGCAGCGGAAGGAGGGGAGAGGTGCTGATTCACTGGGTCCGCTGGTTGGCGTGAGGCTCGTGGGGGGCATAGGGGAGCTGATGGGGGGCCACCAGCCTCTTTAATGCCTGTATTAAATTGCTTGTTTAAAATGTATATAATGCCTTTTGTCTGGCCAAAAAAAAAAAAAATCCCCGGAACCTAATCCCCCTCATTTACATTAATTCTTAAGGGGAAATTGGGTTAGCTTAACATCGTTTCACTTAAAGTCTCATTTTTCAGGAACATAACTACAACGTTAAGTGAGGAGTTACTATATGCTAATCTGAGGTCCAGAAAATTTCAGTTTCTTATTTTAATGTAATACATTTTCTCCTCAGACCACCACAAAATGTTCGCATTTAAAAATACTGTCTTAAATCAGAAGACAATGACAGTGGGTAGGATTTTCTAGAGCTCTCAGCACTGGCCTCTGTTCTCATGGAAGCGAATGGCTCAGTATCTGTGGTGTGTGTGTGCAATTATTTTTTTTAATAATCTGGAACTCTTGAGTCTTTATCCTAACTGTCCCTGCTTTTTGTGTGGTCTTGGTCAAAGTCACTGAGGGTACATCTACATTTGAGCTGAGAGGTGTGATTCCTGACTTTCATAGCTAGGTTTCAGCTAACGCCTGAAAATAGTAGTGTGTCCACAGTGACATGAGTAGCAGCTCTGAGTATAATCCCACCTGACCCACTCCCCTCTCCGCCCCCCGGGGTTCTTCTGTGCAAGCTAGGACTCACCTCTCCCAGATCAAGTGCAGATGTACCCTGAATCTCACATTTCTCATCAATAAAATGAGATACCTAGCTATCCTGTGGGGTACTGTTAAGATTAATGAACTAATGTTTGTACAGCAATTTGAAGATATACTACATACTAAATATTTACTATTAAATGCATTATGATAAACTGCACAAATAGAAAATGGTAAAGGGAAAACATCATAAAGCACATTCCACAGAGGAGTTTACTATATGTTTTTAGATATTTTGGGAAAACGCTTATAATATAGGATTAGCCATGGTTAAAGTGTGTGTGTGTGTGTGTGTGGTGGGGGGTGGCAGTAGTGGTTAGATAAGTGGTTCTACTTTTATACTAAACCTCTTTCCCCCACTACTCATTTTTCCTCATCTGCCTGCTGCTTCCTGTCTAACACCTAGATTGTAAGCTCTCACGTACAGGGACAGATCATCTTTGCTCCTTGTCTGTATAGTGCCTGGCACAATGGGGCCATTGATCCTTGATTGTCACTCCCAGGCAGGTGCTCCTGTAATAGAAATAATAAATATATACTGTCGCACCATAAATCTTAATTAGCACTAAAGTCACTATCAATGCAATTTATTATTTAATTTTGTAATTGGATTCAGCAGAACTGAAGAGGATTGTCCCTTTTCTTTGACTTTTTTAACTTGAATTTTAAAAAATCAAAATGTTAAATTATCTAACATGAAAACCAATCATACATTTATTCACAGGCTGGGCTTAACATCATCCACATATTATATGTATCTTTCTTAGCTAAAAATATTGTTTACAGTGTGATATCAGAACTTTGCCTGTAAAAACACTACTGTATTACTTCACTTATTAGCGCTGTCTGCCTAGAAAATTCCTCCAATGCATACTTAATTTACTGGTGCAAAACCAAGTTTTTGCTGTAGTCAGCACTGTAGAAACCATAAATGCGCAAAAAAGTGAGCTATATATTAGTCTGCCTCATTCATCATCCAGAAAACGGCTAGCTATATTAAAAAAAAATAAATGCAGGGACTGGTAAGGAGGGAAAGCAGATTCCTTATAATTCCCAGTTCAAACTAGAAACAGATAGCTTTGTGCCATTCTGCAATTTCTAAAAAGATGCTTCCCAAAGTGGTGGTCTGTGCTGCATTCTATACTGACCCCTCAGTATAGGGTGTGTGTCTGTGTGTTCATTTTCCCTCAACTTCAGCAAATATTCCAAATCAGTCAACCCATATTTTCAAGATGGGACATTTAAATTTTGTCCATAAGTGTTTTGGCTACAGGTTTTGAAAATTGTTTGCCCACACAAAGGGGCCCTATAAGCACTCCCATGATGGATACATCATAATAATATTGGTAAACATTTCCATCCATTTTTTTCTTCACTAAAATGCTAATGCTGATGATGTTTTAAACTTACTTATCTCTACATTTGTCACATAAATAGATGGAGTTTATCCTTCGGTCTCCTATTTCCTTCAATCTTCTCAACTTTGTCAAAAATTAGCTAGAACAATTTCTTTCTATATTTTCTTATCCTTTATGCCCTTTGTTGGTTGTCCATTGAAAGTTTAATTGCTTTATTTTCTCTTGAATATGTAAAGTAGTAAATTTTGACGGAAGTCATGTTCATTATAACTTGTGTGACATTTATTGTGCCTTTCAATTATGTTGTTATCCAGGATGGTGATGAGTCCTCTCCAATTTTAACAAGCTCTGAGATTGTTAAGGTTCCAGATCCCCAGATGTCGATGGTGAGTAATTTTCTGTGCAACACAATCCAGATCATACCACAATGAAATTTTGTTGTGCTGTGAAGTTCTTGCAAGTGGCGGAGAAAAACTTTTTTGACAATTATATCTGCTATGGTCTCAAGTAAGTTTAATTGCAGCACAAAGTTGTGGCTACTGCCAGTGTGTTAAGTCTTGAGTAAACCTAGACGAGAAATAGTAGTGAGAATTGTAACTTATCAGTTTGATATTAGAATTGGTGGGATGGTCAAATATTTTTAGTTCTTCAAGTGTCCTCTGCATATTCCCATTCCTGGGACTTGTGCTGACTGGCTCAGCAGGACCTTAGAATCTCCTGGTAGCAGTGCCCGTTAGGATGCCCCTGCAGCTTCACCCCCACCCTAGCACTTGAGCATACTCTAAGGGTATGGGTATAAAAGGGGCATGGCTCTCATTGCTCCCTCAGTTCCTTCCACCCACGGCAGTGAAAGGACCTGAATCTGTCTGTTAGATCCGTACTTTCATATTTCACGAAGACTCCTGCATCACAAGTACCTATGTTTTTCTATTGGTACACCATTTCCAGTACAGAGTCTTACCCTTTGGCCTTTCCACTGCACCCAGAGTTTTTACAAAATGCCTGGCTCCAATAACAGTGTATTTGAGGAGGTAAGAAATTTTCATTTTCCCTTACTTAGATGATTAGCTCTTGAAGGCTCCCTCTGACGATTTAAGGAAGGCCATTCCGATCACTCATTGTGTTCAGAACACTAGTTCTTCTCATAAATGGAAAGTATCAGTAGCCGTGTTAGTCTATATCCACAAAAACAACTAGGAGTCCGGTGGCACCTTAAGGTCCGACAGATTTATTTGGGCATAAGCTTTCGTGGGTAAAAATCCTCACTTCTTCAGATGCAAGTGAAGAAGTGGGGGTTTTTAACCCACGCAAGCTTATGCCCAAATAAATTGGTTAGTCTTTAAGGTGCCATCAGACTCCCCATTGTTCATAAATGGAAAAGTCTCTTCTCCCCGCATCACAAAAGATTCCATTCAATGGTGTGATTCTTGACTCTATAAAAGGAAGAGCTTTCCTTCCAGAAGAGAGGTTTTTAATCATAAATGCCAAAGAGTCCTTCAACATCCCTCTCAGAATGTAGTTTTTTGGTTGCGTGTGTCACAACATATGTGACTCTGTATGCCAGGCTCAGAGTGAGGCATCTTCAGCACTGGCTCCTAAAGAACTTCAATCCCTTTATGGACTGTATGCTAAAAGTACTCACTGTTCCGAGGAAAGTGTATCTTCCTCTAATGTGGTGGTTGAAACCACAGAATGTCCTCAAGGGAATTGTATTCAACCCAGCTCTTCTTCATTAATAGTAATTACAGGTTCCACAAAGACAGTGTGGGGAGGGAGAGGAAAACTTCACAACATGTTTGTTCGAGGTCTTTAGACCTACAGAAAATCCCAATTACATATAAATGTACTAGCACTGAGGTCAATCTGTCTGGGTCTCAAAGCGTTTCTTTCACATGTGCGGAATGAGGTGATTCAAGTGGCCATGGGCAATGTGTTGCTCAAGATAGTTAAGACCAAAGCAGGCTGTGAAGAACTTCAAAAAGATCTCACCAAACTAAGTGATTGGGTAACAAAATGGCAAATGAAATTTAATGTGGATAAATGTAAAGTAATGCACATTGGAAAAATTAATCCCAACTATACATATGATATAATTTAGCTACAACTCATCAGGAAAGATCTTGGAATCATCGTGGATAGTTCTCTGAAGACGTCCACGCAGTGTGCAGCGGCAGTCAAAAAAGCAAACAGGTTGTTAGGAATCATTTAAAAAGGGATAGAGAATAAGACGGACAATATCTTATTGCCCTTATATAAATCCATGGTACGTCCACATCTTGAATACTGCATACAGATGTGGTCCCCTCATCTCAAAAAAGATATACTGGCATTAGAAAAGGTTCAGAAAAGGGCAACTAAAATGATTAGGGGGTTGGAATGGGTTCCATATGAGAAGAGATTAAAGAAGCTAGGACTTTTCAGCTTGGAAAAGAGGAGACTAAGGGGGGATATAAAATCATGAGTGGTGTGGAGAAAGTGAATAAGGAAGTTATTTACTTGTTCCCATAAAATAAGAACTAGGGGCCACCAAATGAAATTAATGGGCAGCAGGTTTAAAACCAATAAAAGGAAGGTCTTCTTCACACAGTGCACAGTCCACCTGTGGAACTCCTTGCCTGAGGAGGTTGTGAAGGCTAGGACTATAACAGGGTTTAAAAGAGAACTAGATAAATTCATTAATGGCCATTAGCCAGGATGGGTAAGGAACGGTGTCCCTAGCCTCTGTTTGTCAGAGAGTGGTCATGGATGGCAGGAGAGAGATCACTTGATCGTTACCTATTAGGTTCGCTCCCTCTGGGGTACCTGGCATTGGCCACTGTCGGTAGACAGAATACTGGGCTGGATGGACCTTTGGTCTGACCCAGTGGAGCCATTCTTATGTTCTTAATGTATTATTTGAACAAACGAGGAGGCGCTCGATTTTTCTCAACGATGCAAAAAGGCAATAAAACGTTTAGACTGGTATATCCAGTAAAATATATACCCAATTGCCCAACACATAGTGAAGCAACACAGTTTGATTGCAGATCAACTGAGCAGAGATTTGTTGCAGATGCACGAATGGTCTCTAAAGAATTCTGTTACCAGAATGTTTTCAGCATTTGGGGATTTCTGGTCATAGGTCTCTTTGCGACAAGATTCAGTTAGAAATGTCCCTGTTTTTTGCTCAAGGCTGGCTCAGGCAGTCTGTCATTGAGGGATGCATTTGATACATACATTGCTCGCATTTTCACTTGTCACCAGAGACTTAAAAAAGATAAGGCAGGATTGAGCCAGGGTGATTCTCATTGCTCCGGCAGGGCCAAGGCAACAGTGGTACACCGAGTTACTCCATTCATCTAACAGCAACTACAAGATGCTCCTGTTATCAACAAACCTGCTGCCCCAGGTCTTCCATCCAGATCTCTGATTGTTACATCCAGCAGCATGGGTAATATGCCTTTGATCGAGTCAGAAAGATCGTGTTTGGTTGAGGTGCAACAAGATATAATTAATTCGGAAAGCTGTCAAATAGAAAAAAGTTACAAGTTCAAGTGAAAAAGATTTGTTTTATGGACAACTGAAAAACGTGTTGACCAATTTCAGCTCCCATACAACCTATTTTAGAATATTTGTTACACTTAAAAGTAATAGGGTTGTCTTTGCCCTCCAGTAAGGCCCATGTAGCGGCAATAACAGTGCATCATACTCATGTTAATGGAAAATCTATTTTTTCATGTACATTGGTGAGAAACTTTTTAAGAGGCCAATTCAACCTGGATCCCTCATTATGGAACCTTGTCCCACCATGGAATTTGAATTTAGTTGTAACTCAACTCGTGTCTCACCCATTTGAACCTCTAATGAGCTGCTCTTTGTTTGTCTGTCTTTCAGTGAGGACAGCTTTTATAATAGCTATTATTTTCTGGTAGAAGACTAAGTGAACTGCATGTATTGATGACAGACCCCTTATACCAGTTTTTATAAAGACAAAAAGTGGTTCTTAGACCAGCTGCTAAATTCCTTCCCAAGGTAACTTTGGAGGTTTGTGTAAATCAAAGTATCAGTCTACCAATATTCTTTCCAAAGCCTCATTCAGGTAAAGGGAAGGCCAGATTACATTCATTAGCTGCTAAGAGAGCACTAGCATCTTACCTGGATAAAATATTTTCCCTTATTGATACACGCAAAGCTGCTGCTTAAAGGTTGGTTCACACTTTTGCGAAACATCATGCATTGGATCTGGCATCCATGGCTGATACTTTGGTAGAGCAGTACTCCAGTCTTTAACTACGACTTCACACCCCTCCAGCCAATTTACTATACTGCTTACTAAACTATCCCATGAGTAGAAATATGCAGAGGACACGCGAAGAAGTGAAGTTAGGTTACTTGTAACCGGAGTTCTTCGAGATGGACTCTGCATGTTCGTTCTCCCTGCCTATCTTCCCCATGCGGAGTCCAAATTTCAATATGTTGGGGTTCTGCTTTAGCAATGGAAGGGACTGAGGCGGCAACTGCTGCCACACCCCTTTTATACCCACACCCTCAGAACATGATAGAGCGAGGGGCGGGGGTGACACATCGGCACCCTGATAGGCACTATTCCCAGAGGGTTCTATCATCCTGCTGCATTGGCATAAGTCCCATGAGTGTGAATATGCAGAATCCAACTTGACAAACTCCAGTTACAAGTAACCAACCTTCATTTATGTGGGGGAGGGGGTTACACTATTAACACTTATGTGGTAAGGGAAGGGGAGGCAAGTTGGAGACAGGTGAGAAAGGAGGGTGATTGTTACCTTAGTAAAGGAGATGGGTAGGTGCAGATATAAGGCAACAAGGAACAGAGGAGGGGGAAAATATTGAAACTAAGGAGAGGCAAGTTAAATATTGCCCCAGGTACTTTGCTTATGTGAAATCCCTTTCTTGTTCCACTTCCTTCTGTTGTCCTTGTTGTCCTTATTGCCTAAATACAGTTCTAGAAAGCAGTTCTATTATTGTGAATGCCAGTCCAGCCGCAACTTCAGGAGCCCGCATGTAGATGGGGCTTCGACTGATGACACCATTGTCAGCACCATGCCATCTAACACTGCTGTCGGGTAGTCCAGTTGTTGCAGTGCTGAAATGGTGGCGGCGGCAGCTGAAATCTTGTTCACACTGTTGCTTCTACTGTTGCTATTATGGCTCCAGCTGAACCAGTATTAACTATAAACTCTGGGGGCGAGAGGGAAATCTAATATATGCAGAGCCTTTAGACCAGGGGTGGGCAACCTGTGGCTCCGGAGCCACATGCGGCTCTTCAGAAGTTAATATGCGGCTCCTTGTACAGGCACCGACTCTGGGGCTGGAGCTCCAGGCTCCAACTTTTCAGTGTGCCGGGGCTGCTCACTGCTTAACCCCCAGCTCTGCCGCAGGCTCTGCCCCCACTCCACCCCTTCCTGCCCCCTCCCCTGAGCCTGGAGTGCCCTCGCTCCTCTCCCCTCCATCCCAGAGCCTCCTGCATGCCACGAAACAGCTGATTGGGAGGTGTGGGGAAGGAGGGGGAGGCACTGAACAGCGGGGCTGCCGGTGGGTGGGAGGTGCTGGGAGTGGGGTGGGGGAGCTGATGGGGGGCTGCTGACCTATTACTGTGGCTCTTTGGCAATGTACATTAGTAAATTCTGGCTCCTTCTCAGGCTCAGGTTGGCCACCCCTTCTTTAGGCTAAGCTCTTTGGGGTGGTGCTTAGCCATAAAGTGTCTAGCATCTTTAGTGCCTTAGCATGTTTAGGTGCTGTGTAAATAACTTTCACTTTGAACAAATACCTTGATGACAGCCATTCACCGGAGGTGAGAAATAATTATAAATTGAATTTTAAGCCTAAAGCGATGGTATTGTTAGTGGAATAAGACCGCTTGCTGTTGGAAGTGCATGCACTTTAAGTTGTGAATCCAGAAGATAGAGTAGTTTTTAGATATGAATACTTAAGCATGTAATATATTATTCAGGATGTTGGTGAGTCTCTAGACAGTTGCATTTCAAGACTATTTTCAGTGGAGTTAAATATTTATAACCGCTGACTTTTATTTTGTGTATTTTTAGGAGAATTTAGTAGAGAGCAAACATCACAAGCTTGCTCGAAGTTTAAGAAGTGGGCCCTCTGATCATGATCTCAAGCCTAATGCAGCTACTCGAGATCAGCTTAATGTAAGTTTGTAACTTTCATTTGAGTTTTTGGTGTCTGTAAGAATACAGATTCAGTTTTGCTAAATGACTTTATTCAGTATCTGACGTCGAGTTTGAAGGGAATACAATAGATGTTATGTGATTTCTTGTTAATGTGAACTTACGTGTTGTCAATAAGACAACTTGGAGGTGGGTGGTAGTTTGGCCCAGCTCACGAACGGCCAGTCTTTCTCATCTGGTTACTTTGAGATGAGTTAGTCTTACTACACTCCTGAGTGCGAAGGAATCCGCATCACACATACTAACTGGCATTTTTGGCAGTCTTAGCAGCAGGGCCAAGGATTGATAGGTCTATGGATACCCTGACCTCTATGGGCGGTTCATCTAAGATCAGGGTTGAAGAGCATCACTGGTGTGTAGTATGGGGAAATTGTCCATTTTGTTCTGCTTGTCGATAGACAAAGGCCTTCATTCTACTATGTGGTCAGTACGGCACATGACGCACTAAATTCTCTCAACTTCTTTAAAAGATCAATATGTATAATTTTTATGACAAATTATTCTCTGGAATTTTTTTAATAGATTATAGTGAGTTATCCACCAACAAAGCAACTGACCTATGAGGAACAGGATCTAGTTTGGAAGTTCAGATACTATCTTACTAATCAAGAAAAGGTAAAGTTAATTGTATTAAATATATACTGATCACTGTACATTGTTATTGAATAATTTATCTTCCGGTTTCATGAGTGCAACTGCTTTTTTAAGTGTCTGCCTCTTCAGAGGTGTGAATCTCTGAGCTGACAAAGTATATTTAGTCAAGATATTGTTCATTAATGGAACAGCTATGCTGGTAAAGACTAGTGACCATATTTTTTAAATCCTATTGGCAAATACTTTTAAAACTTGCAGCTCAAAATCTCCAGTGAGTTCCTTTAAAATGCTCTTCTGCCAAGCCTGCCAGGATTAATCCACCAAAGAAAATTGGTGTTAACTTCTGCAAATATAGCACAAATCGCAAGCTACATGCGTCCTAGAGAATAGGATAGGTTACTGGAAAGTGAATTAAAACTAGATGGTCAAATAATGCCAAAAAAAAAAAAAATGTATTGTTCAGTGATTGTTTAATGAATAGCATTGCATTGGCTCTAGCTGGTATCTTTCTAATTTGCCTTACGTGAGGCCCCAGAAAATGGAGCTGGACTATGTTAAAATGTTGAAATAGGTAACCGGTTAAAATTACCAGTTATTTTAGTGGCAGGTATTCAGTTATAAACAAGGCTGAAGCCATAGTCTTGATTTGTTTATATTTTTGGGTGACCTCTAGTGGAGGATCTAAATTCCTGATTCAGCAAATCATTTAAGTATGTGCTTTGCTGAGCTCTCTTCTCCCTATTCAGCTCCATACATTGAGTAATCCTTAACACCTTGTTGTCAGTGCTTTGAGTCTAGCCAGTATTCTGTTAATGACTCCTGAAGTGAAAAGATTGTTTCAAAAGAAAAGAAGCAAAAAAAAAAATCAGAGTCCTTGATTTGCCAAATCTCTATAGCTGCCTTGCTGGTTGCTGCCACCTGATACCATAATTGCTCCTTGGGAATTGGACATTTTGCATAATGGAAGAGACCGTTGATTGAGTCAGCATTGTCTCACTGAAGCATTTCCCACAGGCCTTTGGGGAAAAGGTGTCCCAGAGATCATCGGATTACTTCTGGAAAAGCTTGCTTGTGGTGGCTTGGGGGGAAAATGAAGTGACGCTGCAAACTGCTTGTGCACTCTATTATCAAGAACTACCAGAACTAAGTTCCCTCCATGTGCCTTAAGCAAAGGGTACAATCTAGTACTGTGATCTGGAACATAGGGGTATTAAGTGGCTGAAAAAGAACATTCTTAGTAGGGCTGTCAAGCGAGAAAAAAAATAATCATGATTTATCGCACAATTAATTGCGCTGTTAAACAATAATAGAATACCAATTTAAATATTTGTGGATGTTTTCTACATTTTCAAATATATTGATTTCAATTATAATACAGAATACCAAGTGTACAGTGCTCACTTTATATTTATTTTTGTTTACAAATATTAGCACTGTAAAAAACAAAAGAAATAGGAATTTTCAATTCACCTAATACAAGTACTGTAGTGCAATCTCTTTATCATCAAAGTTGAATGTAGAATTATGTACAAAATGTAGAATTACAAATGTAGAATTATGTACAAAAAATAACAGCATTCAATAATAAAGCAATGTAAAACTTTAGAGCCTGTAAGTCCACGCAGTTGTACTTCTTTTCAGCCAGGTTTCAGAGTAACGGCCGTGTTAGTCTGTATTCGCAAAAAGAAAAGGAGTACTTGTGGCACCTTAGAGACTAACCAATTTATTTGAGCATAAGCTTTCGTGAGCTCACGAAAGCTTATGCTCAAATAAATTGGTTAGTCTCTAAGGTGCCACAAGTACTCCTTTTCTTTTCAGCCAATCGCTCAGACAAACAAGTGTGTTTACATTGGCAGGAAATAATCCTGCCCACTTCTTGTTTACAATGTCACCTGAAAGTAAGAACAAGCATTTACATGGCATTGTTGTAGCTGGGGTTGCAAGATATTTTCATGCCAGATGTGCTAAAGATTCATATGTCTCTTCATGCTTCAACCACCATTCCAGAGGACGTGTCCATACTGATGACGTATTCTGCTCGATAATGATCTAAAGCAGTGCGGACCAATGCATGTTCATTTTCATCATCTGAGTCCTATGTCACCAACAGAAAGTTGATTTTTGTTTTTGATGGTTTGGGTTTTGTAGTTTCTACATCAGAGTGTTGCTCTTTTAAGACTTCTGAAAGCATGCTCCACACCTCGTCCCTCTCTGATTTTGGAAGGCACTTCAGATTCGTAAACCTTGGGTTGAGTGCTGTAGCTATCTTTAGAAATCTGACATTGGAATTTTCTTTGTGTTTTGTCAGATCTGCAGTGAAAGTGTTCTTAAATCAAACAACATATGCTGTGTCGTCAGAGAGACTACCATAACGCAAAATACATGTCAGAGTGCGGGTAAAACCAGGGAGCAGGAGACATACAATTCTCCTCCAATGAGTTCAGTCACAAATTTAATTAACACATGTTTTTTAACAAGCATCACTAGCATGGAACCATGTCTTCTGGAATGGTGGTTGAAGCATGAAGAGGCATATGAATGTTTAGCATATCTGGCATGTAATTACCTTGCAATGCTGGCTACAAAAGTGCTATGCGAACGCCTGTTCTCACTTTCAGGTGACATTGTAAATAAGAAGCGGGCAGCATTATCTTCCGTAAATGTGAACAAACTTGTTTGTCTGAGAGGTTGGCTGCACAAGAAGTAGGACTGAGAGGGCTGAGTGGGGGGAGGGATAGCTCAGTGGTTTGAGCATTGGCCTGCTAAACACAGGGTTGTGAGGTTAATCTTTGAGGGGGCCATTTGGGTTCTGGGGCAAAAATTGGGGATTGGTCCTGCTTTGAGCAGGGGGTTGGACTAGATGACCTCCTGAGGTCCCTTCCAACCCAGATGTTCTATGATTCTATGACTTGTAGGCTCTAAAGTTTTACATTGTTATGGAGTGCGGTTATGTAACAAAAAAATCTACATTTGTAATTTGCACTTTCTCGATAAAGAAATTGCACTACAGTACTTGTATGACGTGAACTGAAAAATACTATTTCTTTTGTTTGTCATTTTTACAGTGCAGACATTTGTAATCAAAAGCAATATAAAATGAGCACTGTACATTTTGTATTCTGTGTTCTAATTGAAATAGATATATTTGAAAATGTAGAAAAACATTCAAAAATATTTAATACATTTCAGTTGGTATTCTGTTTAACAGAGTGATTAAAACTGCGATTAATCGTGATTAATTTTTTTCGGTTAATCACATGAATTAACTGTGATTAATCAACAGCCCTAATTCTTAGTACTCTAGATAACAGTAAGGCTGATACTCTTAAAAAGCAAACAAATGTTTTTTCATTCAAGTTTGTGATATTAAGCAGAAAGATGGGTCTATTTAACACAACAATAAGACCCCTAAAACCTTGCAAAGACCCTTTTCCCCCAACAATCTCCACCATGATTGATGCAGATTTTAAGGGTTTATTTTCCCCTTTGATGTGCTTGTAAACCCCATAGTCTCTAGTGATAACTGAGTGTGTTAAATGGGAGGAGAATAAATTGTGAATTTGAGATTTCTGCTACAGAAGATGTAATTCTCTTACACTGTAACACCTTATCTAAAGTCAGAGGGCCTTACAAAAATTGAAGAATTAATCCTCACAACACCCCAACAAGGTAGGTAAGAATTATCACCCCGTCTTATAGGTGTGCGGGCAATGATACACAGAGAGATTAAGTGACTTGGTCAATGTCATGCAGCAAGTCAGTAGCGTAACTTGGAATAGAATGCAGATCTGATTCCCACTGCTGTGTGGTCACACAAGTTTAGTTGCCCACAATATTGCCATTCACTTCAATTGGGTTCCCCTGGTTTATGCTAATATTATCGCAATAAGAATCTGATCTTATGTCTTGTCTAGACTGAAACTAAAATATATAACTCTAAATCTTCCGGTTCATTGATTTCTGTAATTGCTTCGGAATAGTCAGTTTTTCTAATCTTCTTTGTTTAGGCTTTGACCAAGTTCTTGAAATGTGTCAACTGGGACCTGCCCCAGGAGGCAAAACAGGCACTGGAGCTACTGGGTAAATGGAAGCCAATGGATGTAGAAGATTCTCTGGAACTGTTATCATCTCATTTCACCAACCCAACAGTACGGCGATATGCTGTTGCCAGGTTGCAACAGGCAGATGATGAGGTATTAAAGGACTCTGTTGTTCCGTGTGTGTACTTTACTTTCACCCATGAGAAAATCAAAGGACCTAATGTAGCACATGGAGAAATGTAGAGTTTCCATAATGTTTGCTACTACATGAATATTTATTACTTTTTATAGGAAGGTAATTATGAAAGATAATAAAAGGGTGATCAATGTAAGTTTCTGTTTTTAGAGAGAATAAAACTTCTAGCTTTATTAAGCAAAATTCCTCACAATGCAAATCAATACTCTTATTAGATGTCTTCAGCTATGCAGACTAAAACAATCGTACTTTCTCCCCACAACCCAAGAGATCAGTTTTGATGCTAACCTGTTCACTTCAAAATTAACTGCTCCGTTGTTGAATAGTATACCAGATGCTTCTAGCAATGTATTTTGTAAATACCAGGTATGTCCTGACATTGCATTCCTTTGAGGAAGAAGGTGCAGAAAGATATTCTATTAGCTAGAAATGAGATAAAACATTTGCGATAAAGGGGGATTTCTTTTTGAAAACCCATGTAAAAACACTCATTGAGTGGTGGGAACTTAATGGAATCTAATCTTTTATCTAGGTTTTAATATGCATATTACATCTGCCTCCTGTTTTTATGATAGGGAATCCTATGCACTCATGATTGTGCCTTCTGGGTGTCGTCTTAACACATTTTTTTAAAAGCAGCCCATAAAACTGACCGGCTCACAATAGGGAACACTAATTGCCCCCTAGTTAGCACCCACGCACAGTAAGACTGACTGACTCAGTAATACGCCCCATAATATTCTTGACCAAAAAGACATTCCTTGCACCATGCATTGAAGATCACTAAACAGGTTCTGGTAGACCAGCAGAGGGGGGAAATTCCTTAGGTGGTAATTAATTTAAAATCCTGTCTTAAGAATTCAAATCTAGGGACTGTTATATTGCTTTGTTGCTTTTATGATAGTGCATAAGGGAAGAGTCAGCATTGGATATCCAAGTCCCAGGCGCTGTCCAGCTTTTACAGATGGAAGTCAAACACATTAAAGTGAATAGTTTCACCAATTTTCATTGTATAAGACCAATATGGCTACATTAAACAGATAGTGGAAGTTGATTACAATAAGGTATGAGGAAGACTAACGCTAGCCACTCTAAAACAGAAATATATGCCCTTAGATGTGTATTTAAATTGCTATTGTGACTTTTTAATAATGAAAACAGTGCAAGAAATAGAAATCTGTGTGCAAAGTTATATTCATGACCACTCTCTCTACCCTACACTAGTCATTACTCAGTTCCTGCTTCCATTTCTTTACTGATCACTAAACCCTGATTTAGGCTTGTGAATAAATGGTGTAATTCTCAAAAGTGCTGATAATCCAACAGCTCATCTCTCAGTGTATCTATTTTTTTTTTCTCTGTGTTATCTCCTTCCAAGGATTTGTTGATGTACCTGTTGCAGTTGGTCCAGGCCTTGAAATATGAAAATTTTGATGACATAAAGAATGGGTTAGAGCCAAATAAGAGGGACAGTCAGGGTTCAATGTCTGAGAGTATGGCAACATCAGGAATGAATGCTGCAGAAATAGACAGGTAAGGTGCTTTTGCTTCTAGAAGGGAAGAAACAAGTAATATTGGTATCAGTAGTAAAATACTGATTCTCTCTTGCAGGCATGCTGCAGTTTTGTCATTGGCATATACTAAGTTTATATTTCGGTTTCAGAGTAACAGCCGTGTTGGTCTGTATTCGCAAAAAGAAAAGGAGGACTTGTGGCACCTTAGAGACTAACCAATTTATTTGAGCATGAGCTTTCGTGAGCTACAGCTCACTTCATCGGATGCACCGATGAAGCTCATGCTCAAATAAATTGGTTAGTCTCTAAGGTGCCACAAGTACTCCTTTTCTTTTTAAGTTTATATTGCAAGCTTGCTACTCTTGCTTTATTTATGGGACCTTCATGATGCTTCCAGTCATTACCATGTTGAAGACTTAAAGCTCTGAAGCTGCTATGGGGTCTCTTTGGTTGAAAGTCTCATAGTGCCATTCCTGAGACATTAAAGCAGTTGTTTCATTCTTTGTCTTTAAATACATCTAGCTAGTAATTGAACTGGGTGAGAATTTTTGGTAGAAAGTTTCTTTTAGAAATAGGTTGGGTTTCCTTAATCTGTATGTGGCTGGCTAGCAAGAGCCCAGTCATCTGAGGGTATCCAGCACAAACCTTTGTGATACTTGGTATAAAAATTTTAGTTTGAAGAGGTCCTGGGCACTTTATTTTTTATGAAAACAGAAACAGAAGGCAAAGAAGTACTGAGGCCTGTGAATGCCTGTTCCCTGCAATACAGGAAAATTACTATGTGATTATTCATCACATACGATAGTTTCCTCAGTCCTTCACAGAAGGACAGCCTCCATTGCCCAGGATTCCTACCTATTTGCGCTAGAGGAAAAGCCTTTCTTTAAATATAGCATTGTTAAGGGCTTATTCCTTCACCCACTTACTTCCCTGGTCCTTCTTGCATGAACAGAGAGCAAACCATTTGATGTTTATTGGGGTGAACTTCCAGCAAGCATGATTACAGTTTCCTTCCTTAGTGTCCCCCTTCCCAGCTCTGACACCACAGAGCCTTACACCTGTGTCCCTGTTCCCATTCCTGCCCTTAGCCAAACATGATTCCAATTTCCCCACTCCCATTCCCTGTTCCCATTTCCCCCACCCACACACCCACCCACTTCCTGATTGACTGCAGGCTATATAGTAAAACTTGAGTTCTGCTTAGCTATACCTTAACCAATCATTTTCCTGAAATTTAACTAACCAATCCTAACATATTGTAACATGATTATGTAACCAATTATATCCCACCACCTTAATTAGTTTACACCCAGCAAAATTAATTGTACAGCAGACAGGAACAATCACAGAACCAGACAGAGATAATACAGACAAACAATAGCAAAGTGGGAACTATAATGACAAAACAATACAGAAGTGAGGATTTCACATCCCAGCTATTGATAAGTGAGTTCTTGCCAGACAGGATGCTATCAAACTAAGTTTCCTTTTACATTTTCTAGACACTTCCCTTTCTCTGGAGGTGATCGGCATTATCAGGACAGGATTGTATTCCTAACAGCCCAAAAGCGCTTTAGTTCAATGTGACTAGGTTGGAATGTGAGGATGTGACCAGTCGCTTCCCAGCTTATGGCTGCCTCTGCTGCTTAGCCAAAGGCCTTAGCCTAAGAACAGGGCCTCAGACTGTCACAGTAAGAGAAGGACCTTACACTGGCAGACAGTGATTTTGATTCTTTCTTTTATAGCTCTATAACTAGCCAAATGATAAGAACACACCTAAATTCTTAGAGTACAGGCCTTTACTGACAGTCCTGAATATCTATATCCTAAGACTCCACCCCTTTTTTTTCTTTTGGGATCCTTCTGCCCTGAATATCTATATCCTAACAAGCATCCACCAAGATTTTCACTCCTGCGTTTCAACTCCTTAGTATGAGACACACAGGACTCCCTAAGCTTCTGAAATACTTTAATCCTTAGAGCAATAGTACTGGGTGGAGCATGAGGTAGTCCCGTTACCAGCAGCCATGCACAAACCTCTACGTTTAAATGTTGCACATTAAATCTTCCAGTTGGTTCCATCTTGACTGTAGTTGCCAAAGCAGGTCCCCACAGGTGTGCTTGTCCAGTTGCTGCTCCAGTCCTTATACCTGAACTGATATAAAGCATTGTCAGGTATCCCTCACGGTGTTCCTGCCCTTCCAGCCAGATTCAAGCTGTTAAATTTTTGCTTCAGAGCTTAAGCCCAGCTCTCTTGGAGCTATATTTTTAAAAGCACCAAAGAAACTTAAGTGCCCAAGTCGCTTTTGAAAATGGGACTTAAGCTCCTAGGAGTTAGATGACTTAGATGTTTCTGAAAACTTTATCTATGGCAGTTAGTGTCTGTGCTTAAGGTGCCTTGTAGTCACTTCAATACTGACTTGACATTTAAGCATTCAAATTCAGTGATTCTTTTTGATAGCCTACTCTTGAGAGAGTGTTTTCAGAGTCCCAAAGGAGGAAGGAAGGCAGACCACTTTTCTGGCTTCAAATAATGTCTGTGTGACAGAGCAGTGTCACTGAAAGGCTAAAATCTACTGCCTCAGACTAAAACTAAGTGCAGGGGCATCAGATTTGCCTGCAGATATCTCACAATGCACTGGGAATGTGAAGAATTCGTCTAACCTCTCCTAGTGAGATTGTCATGAATCTGATTTGAAGCAAGCCCTGTAGTGCTTTGAAAGGAAGTCACTCAAAGCAAAAACCTGAGCTGATCAAGACTATATGTTGATGATGTGGCCTGTTCCGGCACAAACCTTACTTCTCCTGATAGGCATAGTGAGAGAGCTTCACCACTGAAGCATCCTACTACGCCATCTTGCTTGAAATAGGCTCTGCCAGCACTCTGATCGTTCACGTGCTTGAAGTTTTCATGCTTAATTTTTTTACAACCACATTATAACTAAGTTTAGATTTTTCTGTAGGAATTAATGTTGCCACTGTTGTTAGTTATCGAGCCTGTTTGGCTAATCATAGTCCATTCTTGTAGGTTTCCCAATCTAGTTAATATCCATTGCAAATGGAATGTACACCATGGTTTTAGTTTTTTTAAACTGTTAATGTGATCCCAAATCCTAACTGTAAAACATGTGCTGCTTCTTTACTTTACAGCTCCCAGATCATAGCAAGTCCCCTTCCTCCTGTATCCTCCCCACCTCCTGCTTCTAAAACAAAGGATTCTGCAGAGAGTGAAAACCTTGAAGTAAGTAAAACATCTTAGTTATTAACTAAGAAGTATCCAAGATGATAACTGAATGGGTATTTGTTTTATATTGGTCTTTATCCCATAGAATTTGGCTAATCTAAATATAACAAGTTCATAAACTTGTTATGATGTTTGACTGTTCCTGAAAGTACATTGCTGCATGGTCCAAAAGATAAGACTTTAGTTTTAACTCTTGCCCTGGGAATATAAATGTGTTAAGATGAAAATTTCAAGTGAACTAAATATAGATTACTTTATTAAGAAAATACTGATGGTTTTTCTGAATGTTTATATCCAAGTTGTTTATGAACACAGTCACACTAATAGGAATAGGTTTATGTTACATTATGTATATTTCTGTTAAGCACAAAGATCAGTACCATTTGGTAAAGATAAAAATGAATGTAGAAAAAAATAATGAGCATATAATATTACATTCAAGGTAACTTGACTGTGCCTACATATATTCTAGTCCCACCTTCCTGCACTGCAGAGCCCGCACCCCAGCCGGAGCCCGCACCCTCCAACCCCCACTGCAACCCCCCAGCCCAGAGCTCCCTCTCGCACCCTGAACTCCACATTTCTGGCCCTACCCCAGAGCCCACATCCCCCCTGGAGCCTTCACCCGCCCCTGCACCACAACCCCCAATTTCATAAGCATTCATGGCCTGCCATACAATTTCCATACCCAGATGTGGCCCTTGGGCCAAAAAGTTTGCCCACTCCTGCTCTAGCAGAAGTTCCCTCCTCAGCCCTGGCAGCTTCCTTGCAGGCAGCTTCTTTCCCTGGGTTGGACTGAGTTTTCAAGTTCATCCCAGTTTTCAAGTTCATCCCCCTTCCGGCTGGAGGGGAGGGAGGGTGAAAACAACCGCTCCCCTTCCTGGCTGGGGGGGTGGGTGGGGAGTGGAGACTCCAAACTTGGTGCTACTCCTGCTCTGCTAGCTCCAGCTGCCTTGGGCTGGCAGCACCAGTGTCTTCACCTCCTAGCTGTAAGTGGCTGCCCCACGGGTGGCAATGGGAACAGGCAGCCCAGATGTGCTTACCTTGAAGATGCAGTACAGACACAGTAGAGTACTTGAGTTTTTTTGCTTTTGTTTTTGTTTGGGGAGGTCTCTGCTGCTGTGTGATTGGTTACTTCCGGTTTCACATGGTATCCAGTTGACCGTTCAGTCCGTAACTCTGGTGTTCCTACCTTTGAGGTTCTACTGTGTAACTTTTTTTTTCACTTTTTAATTTATTCCAGCAAGACCTTTGCACTTTCTTGATATCCCGAGCCTGCAAGAATTCCACCCTGGCTAACTACTTATATTGGTATGTCAAGTCTTACTTCGTATTATAGTAGCACTGAGGGTCTCCAAATTTGAGATTAGGGTCCAATTGTGCAAGGTGCTATACAGACACAGAATAAAAGCTAGTCCTTGCCCTGAGGAACTTAATATCTAAATTTGAGACAGATGCAACAGTGGGTTTAAATAAACAAAAGGAGGGATGAGGATTACACAGTGTGCAGTTACATAGTATAAAGATGCAAAAAGAAAAGGAGTACTTGTGGCACCTTAGAGACTAACCAATTTATTTGAGCATAAGCTTTCGTGAGCTACAGCTCATGCTCAAATAAATTGGTTAGTCTCTAAGGTGCCACAAGTACTCCTTTTCTTTTTGCGAATACAGACTAACACGGCTGTTACTCTGAAACCTGTCATAGTATAAAGATGGCAGTCACTGGTTTACAGAATAACAAATGTGTGTGCATATGTCTCTAGATAAAGTGAGAGCATTATATTTGCAATGATCAAAATACAATTTTAAATTCTCACTTTATGGTCTAAAAGTGTCATTCAACTGGAATAAATAAACACTGTAATTCAGTTTTGGATTGTGTAATAATTTTTTGGCTTTCATAGCAATCTGTCTATAGTACTCAGTTCGTGCACTGTATTCTAGCACTTAATAAAATGCATAATTGGCATAAGTCACTGTAAACCTGTTGTGCTAAACTAAGACTTGCTTTATTAGCTATCACGGATGAGTACCATAGGATATCTAAATAAGACAGTGCTGCAAATGGTTCCCCCTCACCCCCTTTATGAATGACCTATAGTTGTGATGCCTTGTCCAGGTGATTGAAGTTTTGCACTTAAATCACTGCACTAAATATGTACCCAGGTTTTATAATTCTATATGTCATTGATTGAAAATGGTTATCAATAGTATGCTGTAACTAATACTAATATGCTATGAATAGCACATATGGTTGGAAATGAAAGGGGTGAATTAAAATACATTGTCCAAAATGGTGTGCCAAAAAAAATGACTTATTCTGACAGTGCTTCCAGTTGTAAATCCATCCTCGCAAAATATCTCCTTGTTTTCCCTCTCACGTACAATATTTAAATTTAAAAATATTAATCAAATGGAAGCATGATTTACTACAACACATGGTGAACATGCCAGCATACACTTTTTCTCTGTCATAGCCTAGAATATTTGTTTAAATTAAAAATATAATGGGCTACTTTTCTGAAGATAAGGAACTACAAGCGTGATTACTGGGAATAGAAATTAAATATTTGGTCTGGTCAAACATTCTTATTTATTTAAATAGAAATAACTTAGTCTAGCTTCGCTCACTTAAATGTGTGGTTCATTTCACAGTCATTACTGAAGCTTTTGCATTTTTCCAATTACATAAAACCCAAAACCTTTTCATACATACAAGATTGTGTGCGGTTTGTATCACTAGAGAATACAAGTACATTGCATTCTGAAACTTGGAACAAACTTTCTTCTTCCTAACTCATTCAGTCAACAAACTGTCAAGCTCTCTCAAAACACTCTTGCCTTCTGACCACAAAATCAACTAATTTATTCTTTCTTTTCCTTTCAGACATCTCAATTTCTCAGTGACAAAATCCAAATGTCACAGCTCCAGTTTGATCTGGCATAGCCATAAATCCTTTTGGCTGCTGATCAATTACGTTTTTCAGCTAACCAGACGCAGCATGAGCTTAAAACAATCAATAGAAAAATTCAGTAATCCTTGAAACTCCGGCATCACATTCATATTACTGTGATGCTAGAGCCATTCCTGTACTTTTTCATGTTTGTGCATAGATGACTAAAACTGTGTTTTGTGTATGCACCATCTACTGAGGCATATGATATCAGGCCTTTGGGCCTGCCTCTCGAGAAGTTAGAGAGACACCATGTAGTACTTTCCTTTGCAAAGAAAGATGAGATAAAGGCACATTTTAACGCATTTCTTTGCATTTTCCCTATTCCCCTTCGCTTGTTGAGTACATAAGCTTTGAAAATATACATGAGAAGCTGTCAGATTTCATTTTCTCTGTAGTAAGATCTAAATTCGTAGCCTTAAAAAAGGCTATCCTACTAGTAATCACTGCTGCAAGAGTAAGAGAGCTTTGGAAATGACTTCTGGTTAGCTATAGGATTTATCAAAATTATAGCCCTTGTGAAATACAAGTATTTGTCTGGATACTGAATGTATTTCACATTTTGTTATGAATTTGTAAATTAGTTTAGAACGATGTATCGCAGACAAGCTTGATGGAAAATTCACACTTGATATGTAGTAAGCTCTTGAATCAATTTGAAGAGAGAGCCCACGACAGCAGATTATCTAATGGATTGTGCAGTTTCCTGCAGTTTATTTTCTACATTGAGAAGAGACCATTTTGATACATTCTTCTATGGCTACCAAATTTAGATATTAATCCCTGTCTACTCAAAACATGCTCTTCAATCCAGAAATGTAGCTAGGTCATACAATCCTCTGCACCTAGTCCTTGTATCCATGTGCAGTTTTGTCAACTTTTGCATAGTTTTGTCTTGGGAATGGAATTGAAGCTCCATTTTTGAATTGGCTCAAGTTGTCACCTCGTTTCCTCCTTTCATCTCCCATGCTGTTAAATGAATTTCTTTCTCTTTCGGGTGCCTGACACAGTGTTTAATTTGCGCCAGGGCTTGCCAGGGTTGAGCCCTGACACCGCTGGGCTTGGCAGTTCATAGCCCCGGCACCTCTGGGCTTGCTGTATCTGTTACGAATGTAAAAAAATTGCTTGAGCCCCAGCACCTCTTTCATTACAAATTAAGCACTGACTGGACAGTAGTTGTCGCAGCATATAACCAGTTTCAGTGATCTAAAATGGAAACAAAGTATATGTTGCACAAGATAGGTAGAAACGTAATTGTTCAGCAGAGCATAAAATCAACTAGACTTAATATTAGGAAAAGTGTAGTTAGCTCGGCTCTCAGATTTATTCATTTGGTTTAATTTGTAATCAACATTCACAATTCAGCACTCCTCAAACTTGCTATGGGCTTTCTCAGTATTTAAAAACCCAGTTATCCAATCAGTAACAAAAATATTCTGCCCATGCACCTCTGATGTTGGAGGAGGTGTTCCATTGAGCCTGTATAGTGCCTAACATGTTGGAGCTCCAGTCCTGGGGCACCACCATAAGGTAAGCAGAAAGGTAACTGTCACAGCATGGGTGGAATTAGTCCATAACGTCTGTGAAGACTGATTAGGTTCACTACATTTGCATAGTCACTTGACCTATTCCAAACCAAGCATTAGAAAATGTAATGTATTCAGTTAGATATTAAATAGCCCCGCCTAGAATACGCACATGTCAAGGTTCCTCCCCCACTCTGAACTCTAGGGTACAGATGTTGGGACCTGCATGAAAAACCTCCTAAGCTTATCTTTACCAGCTTAGGTCAAAACTTCCCCAAGGTACAAAATATTCCACCCGTTGTCCTTGGATTGGCCGCTACCACCACCAAACTAATACTGGTTACTGGGGAAGAGCTGTTTGGACACGTCTTTCCCCCCAAAATACTTCCCAAAACCTTGCACCCCACTTCCTGGATAAGGTTTGGTAAAAAGCCTCACCAATTTGCCTAGGTGACTACAGACCCAGACCCTTGGATCTTAAGAACAATGAACAATCCTCCCAACACTTGCACCCTCCCTTTCCTGGGAAATGTTGGATAAAAAGCCTCACCAATTTGCATAGGTGACCAAAGACCCAAACCCTTGGATCTGAGAACAATGAAAAAGCATTCAGTTTTCTTACAAGAAGACTTTTAATAAAAATAGAAGTAAATAGAAATAAAGAAATCCCCCCTGTAAAATCAGGATGGTAGATATCTTACAGGGTAATTAGATTCAAAAACATAGAGAACCCCTCTAGGCAAAACCTTAAGTTACAAAAAAGATACACAGACAGAAATAGTTATTCTATTCAGCACAATTCTTTTCTCAGCCATTTAAAGAAATCATAATCTAACACGTACCTAGCTTGATTACTTACTAAAAGTTCTAAGACTCCATTCCTGGTCTATCCCCGGCAGAAAACCAGCATATAGACAGACACACAGACCCTTTGTTTCTCTCCTTCCTCCCAGCTTTTGAAAGTATCTTGTCTCCTCATTGGTCATTTTGGTCAGGTGCCAGCGAGGTTACCTTTAGCTTCTAAACCCTTTACAGGTGAGAGGAGCTTTCCCCTGGCCAGGAGGGATTTCAAAGGGGTTTACCCTTCCCTTTATATTTATGACAGCACAGTTGTATGTATTGTGCTATATTATATCTCAGAGGATAGAAGGAGGATAATTGACAAACCGCCTTTTTGGTTAGCATTACTTTATCGTTTATAAGTGAAATTATATTTTTATGCTGCATATGAAATAACCTATAAGGTCAATCAGAGTAAGAACCACACACAATTTACCAAAATAAGGCATGAAATTAAAAATGATTGTAAAATATTGTTCTCTTCTTTGGCTGAGGCCTCTAGTCTGGTGGTCCTTTAAAAAATGAACAGTAACCTCTTTGCAAAGCCATGCTCTGGGATCACTCAAGTATTCTTCCACCCCAATTGCTGATGGAACATGCAGTGACAATGCATTGGGCGGGGGAGAATGGGGGTTCAAGAGGTTGTTTGCACTGCCATTTTGTAGCACTCAGATTAGGAATGGGTAATAGAGCAGTGAGAATGGTGGAAATACTCCTCTCAATGAGTGGTAGGACAAATGATTAGTGTAGATGGATATGCAATGGGGCAGAGGTGTGTGTCTGGCATACCCATCCATACGTGCTCCGTTTGAGTGCTACCACTCTGTCTTAAGTGAAAGTAAATCTCAAGTGTTTCAAGTACTCCATATATCAGTGGAAAGACCCAGGGTGTCTGTCCCTGATACTGCTACCTGAAGGTTCAGGTTTTGCCCTGAATCAAGTAAAGATTAGTTTTGCTGTAATTGCAGATCTTTATTACACAGCTGTAGTACTGCACAGGTAAGGGATTTGTGTTGCAGAAGGACAACCTAACTGAGATTGTTTTTGTGTTAAAGGTATGTAATAGTGGAATGTGAAGACCAAGACACTCAGCAGAGGGATCCAAAAACTCATGAAATGTACCTAAATGTGATGAGACGGTTTAGTCAGGCTCTATTAAAGGTAACCCATCCCTTAGGTAATGAAAGATTAAGCAGTTTGCAGGTATTTGCTTTCTTTAAAAAGACACTAGTTTCCTATGATGCCATAGCATAAGCATTGCAGTCTGCCAAACCCCTACTTCTCCCTGGAATTAATTTGATCTGCTGTAAATGGTGTAATTTTAGTTCAGAACAAATGAATGCAACTATCAAGGGAAGTGTTTCCCTTTCTCTATTTGTTGCTTTTCAGGTAAATTGTAAACTGACTTTTCATATCATGCTTGCCTGTAGACCCCCTTGCATCTGGCAGTGAATGTCTGATATTTTGGGGGAATATTTGGCCCTGCTTGACAAACTGGAGGCTGGATCACTAGCCTTTGCTGAATCAAGAAGCAGTGCCAATCTGTGTGTCAGCAGTAGAGGGTGCTGATGTAGTGAAAAAGGGTCCTTCTCCTGAGCTATAGTTCATAACATCTGGCATATATGTACAGAGTTAGCTGGCTTAAGTCCAACAGTCAGGTATCTTTCATTGCATTTTACTTCACATCTCATTAATGCTGCTTCAAGGTTTTTATGTGACTCATGTAGTACAAAGGCATATTTCACATGCGAGAATCTTCATGAAACTTACTTCCCCCCCTGTGAATTAGTTTGTCATGCATGAATGTTTACCACTCAAATTATTATTGTTGATGTAAATGGAAGTGCACTGAAAGGTCAGATAACTGATTGCCAGCTATGGCAATTCTGATTACATTTTACAGAAAATACTGTGCTTTGAATGAACTCTGAAATGAAAGATAATTGATCTTTTTTATTAACTTGGGAAATCTAGCTAGACTAAGAATAAATGTACAAATTTCAGATGTAATTATGGAACAAAGACCTAATTTTCTGTTTCTTTTTCATTCACGTAGGGTGATAAATCTGTCAGGGTTATGCGTTCTTTGCTGGCAGCGCAGCAGACATTTGTAGATCGACTGGTTCATCTAATGAAGGCAGTGCAGCGTGAAAGTGGGAATCGTAAAAAAAAGGTAAATGCAGGAATAAAAAATTTTGTGGTTAAAATTTTAGAGTAGGAGTGTTAGTTTTCACTGGAAACTTTTGATAAGTTGTGTAACAAGATATTCTGAATTTTTCTAATGTCTTATCTAGTTAAGCATATATGCTAATATGCAGTGTATGTGTTTTGGTTAGACTGAAGTATTTTAGCTCTTTTGGCTTTTTTTGCTTTGAGCTATTCTAGTTCTGTTTGTTTGGGTTTTTTTGGTCGCCTTTTTGGAAACACACATGGAAGACTCAAATTTCTGGGAATTTTTTTCTCAAAGATGCTTTTTGATCAATTTATTTTTCCTCTCTAATTTATACAACTATAACTGTCTTGTACCCTCTGGAAGGTGTATTCAGAGTAGCGCTTTGGCTCTAAGGGTACATCTACACAGCAGCTGGGAAGTGTGATTCCTACCTCAGGTAGATGTACGTGCACTAGGTCTGCTTGAACAAGTGCCTAAAAACAGTGTGGTCATGGCAGCTGCCTGAGTGCAATTCTGCCTGACCCTCTCTCCGGGTATGTACTTGGGTAGCTTATGTTTTGAGTTTTTTAGACAGGGTTTTTTACGCCTTTCTTAGCTATTAATTGTGGTATATTTACTGTGTCAGTAGTTTATCTATTTTTTCCCCTTTCACCCTTTGGTGAGTGGAGTTAGAAACCGATGGGTTTTTTTGTTGTATATTTATGATTCTTGATTTTCTTTTAGTCTTTTTGGTCCTGTGTTTTTGAGACATTTGACTGTATGCCATGTTCATTCTATTCATTTTATCTTTGTTACTGCTTGTGTCCTTCAGTCCTTCAATAGCATCGTTAATACCAGTTTCACCACCTCCTTTCTCCCCCAAAAATGTTGTGCTGAAAATTTCATTTCCTTATTGTAGGACCCATTTTCCATAGCATGTACTAAATTACTTTTTAATACTGATTTGTGCCTGAGATTTTCATATACATTTACATGGAAAAGTATGAATGTGGTATAGCAGCAGCAAGACACTGGAAACCACCATAATCCTAAATACTAATATAGTTTGAGACATATGGACTTCATAATCTGATTTTAGACTAATCATTAGATCTTACTATCATCTCCTCCTTAATCCACCAGAAAATCTGGATAAGAATCAGGATCTTGCTAATTAAAAACAAACTTTGCATTATAGCTGAGCTTTCAGAGATCTTGGATACACACTGAAAACGTCTGAACTTTATTACAAATATTAGCTGAAGAGCTTGATACTATATGTTCCAATCTCTATATAGTGTTTTTTAAGATCCAAGTATTTATGGCATATGAGTTAAAATGAACAAAAACAACACAACAACTCCCTTTTTATATGTTTATTGGTTCTTTATACCAATATTCAACAAGGAGCTTTAATCTTCTGTGAGGTCTTGGATATTTTTAATATGCATTTATAACTTTCATCAAGCCTGTTAAGTTGAATTTATTTGAACGAACACACACACACACACTCTCACACTCTGTTTATCCAGAAAAAGGAATATATTTAGTCATGCTTTGTGTGATTGTATCTATAATACATAAAGGGGAAAATACATTATGAAAATTGGGTAATATGCATATGTTCTTGAAATGTGCTTCTGGCCTATAATCTATCCTACACATAAACCACAGAGAAACACTTGCAAGATGTATCGTATATAGTAATTGCCGACATATTTCTATATAACTCAAATGTGTGGGTTCGGGCTATCATCTGGCCTGCAGCAACTGGCCATTATAAATATGCCCAGGGGTGTTTGAGCTAATATAGTGGACCTATGCCCCTCCCGTTTGCCTCTGGCTGGTGTTAAAATCAGTGGAATCTGCTGCATCTCTCTTCACTTCTTGTCTATTCTGTGCATGGTTGGCAGGAGGAAATAGGGCAGCTGTTGAGCATTTGGTGCATAAGTTCTTTATTATATAGGCTATTAGGTAAATAGTTCTGACTGAATTGCAGTTTTAAAAATGTGTGCAGTATTGATTATTTTAAAATATAGTAGATTCAATATTATAAATCTAGGGCCAGCTCCTACAGTGAGATTGTCGCAGGTTTTTACCACCACGAGTGAACCCGTTGAAGTCAGCAGGGCTCCATACAGGTGCAGGGCTCCATCAGTATAATTCCAAGTGCAGGATCATATCCTAGAGCAGTGAGACTCAGAGTGTGGCTTGTGAGCCGCAAGTGGCTCTTTAATGCATCTTCTCTGGCTCTTTGAAGCACATGATATAAAACACTGTGTGATTTAATTATTAACCAGTTATTAAGTTATTAATCAGGATGCTTTTATCATGTTATTAACCAATTAGGTTATCAACTTGCACTAAGTTTATTAACTTATTTGCTGTGAGAATTATATAAAAGTAAATATTTCCCCCATCATACAGTTTTAAATATGAATAGTTCTATAGTAACTGGAACAATGAATTCACACTACTATTGCTCTTTTGGGTAATGTTGATCACTAATTTGACTCCTGAACCCCTGAGATCTGAGTATCACTGTCCTAGAGCATGAACAGACCTTGTATAAGAGAATGAAAGACCTCTATTAATGTGGAAAACCAACACCCCTTCATACGGGCATGTAACCAATTTACAAAAATACAAAGAAATTATTGGAAGGTTACTATCCCTGACACAACTAAACCTGCATGTATTTCTATGACTGACTTTGAACTGGGTGTAGAATATCTGATTACTTTGCCTGTTCTGCATTTTTTTTTTAAATTTCACATTGTGCTAAAGATGAATGTTACATTACTTTGAAGGCATAAAGTGCTTTATAAATGCTATATTATTTGGATATACATCTGCTTTTTTGTTACTGCACATTTTTATACCCAACTATATAAATATTTCTGCAAAGGTTGTTCTCATGCTTTTCCATCTGTATTTCTTTTAAACTCCATTTGCATTTTCATCTAATTGGACTTTTGGGTTTTACTCTTTTTTTTTAGAATGAGAGGCTACAGGCATTACTTGCAGACAATGAGAAGATGAATTTATCAGATGTGGAACTTATTCCACTTCCTTTAGAGCCTCAGGTGAAAATCAGAGGAATAATCCCAGAGACAGCTACACTGTTTAAGGTAAATGGGAGAGGTCTTCCATTGAATAAGTGAGTTACAATTAAACCTTAATTTTTGAAATACTAACAGAAACGTTACCTTGAAAAACTACTTGCTGTTAAATTTGTCAAACAAGCTTTGTGCTCCTGAAGTTGAGAGGCTAATATCACTGAATTTAGTGGGGCAATGCACGATCAAAGTATCTGTACCCGAGTGCAACCAATGCTTAAGTGGCATTTTGGTCTAAAAGACTGTATCCTCTACTCTTTCCTTATGAAATGCTGTGAGTGTGTGCATACTAATTGATTCATAGAATCATAGAATATCAGGGTTGGAAGGGACCTCAGGAGGTCATCTAGTCCAACCCCCCGCTCAAAAGCAGGACCAATCCCCAATTAAATCATCCCAGCCAGAGCTTTGTCAAGCCTGACCTTAAAAACTTCTAAGGAAGGAGATTCCACCACCTCCCTAGGCAACGCATTCCAGTGTTTCACCACCCTCCTAGTGAAAAAGTTTTTCCTAATATCCAACCTAAACCTCCCCCACTGCAACTTGAGACCATTACTCCTTGTCCTGTCCTCTTCTACCACTGAGAATAGTCTAGAACCATCCTCTCTAGAACCACCTCTCAGGTAGTTGAAAGCAGCTATCAAATCCCCCCCTCATTCTTCTATTCTGCAGACTAAACAATCCCAGTTCCCTCAGCCTCTCCTCATAAGTCATGTGTTCCAGACCCCTAATCATTTTTGTTGCCCTTCGCTGGACACTTTCCAATTTATCCACATCCTTCTTGTAGTGTGGGGCCCAAAACTGGACACAGCACTCCAGATGAGGCCTCACCAATGTCGAATAGAGGGGGACGATCACGTCCCTCGATCTGCTCGCTATGCCCCTACTTATACATCCCAAAATGCCATTGGCCTTCTTGGCAACAAGGGCACACTGCTGACTCATATCCAGCTTCTCGTCCACTGTCACCCCTAGGTCCTTTTCCGCAGAACTGCTGCCTAGCCATTCGGTCCCTAGTCTGTAGCTGTGCATTGGGTTCTTCCGTCCTAAGTGCAGGACCCTGCACTTATCCTTATTGAACCTCATCAGATTTCTTTTGGCCCAGTCCTCCAACTTGTCTAGGTCCCTCTGTATCCTATCCCTGCCCTCCAGCGTATCCAGCGTAATTGTCCACAATACTGTAAGCAATGGAGTTGACATAGTGGGATGGGATTTACATTTTGTTCTGAGCGGGGTGAGATCCATGAACATTTTGATATTCAGACAGGACTTCCCTATCTGAGGGCTAGCTACTAAGAGATCAGAGCCAGCACAACAATGGTCCACCATCCATTCTATATGACTTATTAAAAATCCATGATCAACAGAGTCAAACCTTGCTGATAGACTGTTTGTTATGAACTGGGTGCAAATGGTAGTAATAGTGGTGATGCGCAAATGGGTGCATAACTTATGTGTCTGCCAAAATTCTGCGTAAATCACAAAGATGTGCATCTTCCTACAATCTTCCAGCACCTCACCTTCTCTGGCCACACTGTAGAGTTTTCTCCATGTGTGCATTTGTGTTTTCTTCGGAATAGAGTGTTTCTTCTTCATTGCCTTCACCTTGTCTGATCATTTGGGGTTGGTGGTTCTTGTTGTTCATTTTCAAGCATTCTTGTCAAGTGTCTTCTCCATGCTGATACGAGCCTTCTTCATGTCCTCCTTCAGCATCACAAACCAACTTTTCTAAGTCTTCCTCATGGTCTTTACCCTGTGACTACTAGCTTTTGTACTCTGGCCAACATATACCACATCACTTCATCTCACGTGACTAGCCATCTCAGTTTATGCTCCCTCTGCTTTTCCACAATGGGGCAACCTGCATTGTGGTTTGTACCGTTTCATTGTGTAGCCTATCGGCACTGGCGTCCAACTGAGCATACTCATTTCAGGAGTGTGAAGAGTTGTTGTTCTTTCTTCTTCATTGGCCAGCATTCTGATCTGTACATCATGGCTGACATAATCATGAACTTATACGCTTTGTACTTTAGTTTACTTGGCATATTCTTATTGCAGAGATTTCCCTTCAACTTTATTTTTAATTTGCAGACCCTAAAATTTTTTGAATGGAGGTGTGGACCCCTTTGGAAATCTTGTACATAGTCTGTGGACCTCCGGGGGTCCACGGACCACAGGTTGAAAACTACTGTTCTATGGTAATGACAACCTTTCACAAACATCTTAAACATATTCTGTGGACCTCGAGAGATCTGTGGACCACAGGTTGGAAACTACTGGTTTACACCAAGCACTTTTCATGTGGCTACTAACATCTGCATTTACCTTCCCGTTATGACTCAACACTGTGCTAAGATATTTAAATTGTTGCACAGATTTTAACTCTACGCCATCTAATTTTACTGGCTTCTCATTATCTCTCAACAAAGCATCATATTATTCCATCTTTTTTTGGCTGATTCATAAACCATTTTCTTCTAATGCAGATCTCCATAGTCGTAACCCCCTTTCCAGTTTGTATTATCTTCTTGGCGCAACATATTATCATTTTACAAAGCATGCCCGAAGGAGCTTTTCCCCTGATGTCCTGTGTCAAGGTATCCATTATAATCACAAACGTGAATGGACTTAAGGCTGATCCTGGGTGTTGATCTACCATCATGGTGAATGACTCACTGTAGCTGCAACTGCTTCTCACTACCCTTGTACATGGCCATGATAGTCCGAACGTATGCCTCCAGCAGATTATGCCACAGCAGGTGCCATCATAATAATTCTCTAGGAACTTTGTCATAAGATATCTCTTATTCTAAATGCAATTCCTTGTGTTTCTCCCTGTGCTGCTTCTGCAACACTCAGGCTGCAAACACTGCATCCATTGTTGACCGGCCTGGCATACACCTGAATTGGTGGTGGTTTACTTGGTGCTCCAGCTCCTCCCACAGTCTTTATAATTCTTGCAGGCATTTCATCGGGTGAATCATTAACTTGATGGGTTGGTAATTACTACATTCTTGAACATCTCCTTTATGCTTAAAAATAGGGACGAATTTTCAATTTTCCAGTATAGTTAATTAAGGTGAAAAAGTTTGTCGTCATAACCATGGTCTGTTGCTGTAAATGCCTCAATTGGTACACTATTCGGTCCCTCTGCCTTGCCATGTTTCATCATCTTGAGCAATGTCTGAGTCTCCACCAGGATGGTAAATCTTGTAAGGTTGTTGCTTGTGCATAGTTTCCTCAGTGGTTTCTTTACATTCTCTTTACTGAGCAGTTTCTCATAAACCTGCTGCCACCTCCTAATGACGTCACACTCTTCCACCAGTGCTCTTCTGTTTTCTTCTTTAATCCACTTCACAGTTCCCAAGTCTCTGTGCTTCTTTGCCTAATCTTGGGTAATCTATATATTCCTTTCCCTCCTTCCTTCCATAGTAGTCCTGTGTAAAAGACTTTAAGCGCCTGACCCTTAGCTTCTGTAACTGCTCTTTTGTTGTTGTTGTTTTGCTGTTTTCTTTACCAGCTTGTATTCCTCATAATTGTCTACCATTCCTACTTTCTGCCATCATTTACACCTTTCCTTCTTCTTTACAGATTCTTGTACATTGTTTGACCACCACTATGTCCCCTTGCAATGAACTTTCCCTCATTTTGTTTGGCCACATGCAGCTTGTGAATAGTCAGTAATGTGTTTGGATATTTTCCCCCAAACCTCTTTGGTATCATTGTGGTCAGTTTGATCGTTGCCCGAACTCAGTAGAATCTTTGTCCTTATACCTCAAACTAACTTCCCTTTCCGCAAGGCTCTACCTCTTTGTTCCACAACTCATCTTTTGTCCCCCACTAGCCTTTTCACCCAGAAGTCAATTGCACAGCAATATAAATTGCTTATGATTTGCTCTCCTGGCATCAGTTTAGTCTCACATTTTTAGGTTACTTCCTTACAAGAGGAAGAGATCTAAAAATGTGAGAGAGGCTAAACTCAACCCAGGAGAGTTATTACAAACAATTGACCTCGGACCTGTTGGTACCACACTCGTGTGTAATTAAGTACTCTTCTTTCTTTACAATGTATCTATTGGTAATAATCAGGCCATGGGCTCTGGCTAACTCTAAGATAGCGCCACCGGCTTCATTTCTGGTTCCAAAGTCTCATCCTCCATGACGTCATTGTAGTCGTCACTGTGTTCTCCTACATGTGTGTGGAGGTCTGCTCCAATAATCAAGTACTCTGCTTGTGGAACTTCACTTGTCACTGGGTTCAGCACTATCTGGAATTCTGCCTTCTCCTCAGTCACACAACCAACCTGCAGTGCATATCCGAATAAAAAAAAACACAAATATTTGTTCTCTGCTCCAGGGCTTTGGAGCGGAGCCCGGAGCTGGAGCGTGGAGCAGCTCCGGAGCAGCAGAGCTGCAGGGGTTTTTGCTGGAGCTGGAGTGGAGCCGGAGCACAGATCCAAAGTCCTGTTCTGCTCAGTACTATTCTAACTTTCATTGACCAGTTGCTCTTCTTTAGGATGACCTCTACCTTGTCCTGTAATAATTCTGCTACAATTATTCCTATTCTGTTCCTCCTTGCTACTGAGCCATAATACTTTATCTTGTAACCATCTCCAGTGTTTATGGATTTTGACCACTTCCATTTTGTTTCTTGTATGCAGGCAATATGCACTCTCCTTCTTTTCAGTGTCTCAGCTACTTCTCTTGATTTCGTAGTCATTGTTTCCACATTCAGTGAAACCAAACATAATTCTTGGGCTTGCTTCTTCAGCTGCATGTGCCCTTAATGGGGTGGCCTTTTCATATTTTCCACAGCTGTCTGGTGAAGTGGTTGCACGCTTGATTCCAGGGGATGCCATAGCATTCTAGTGATATGGTCCCTGAAGACAAAGACCCATAGAGCATATGTGTTTGGCACACTTCCCGGCACACTTTTACAAACTGGCTGGCCAGGCCTGATGTTCTTCGGTTGAAATCAGAGTCCATTATCCTAGGTGGACTAGGTTGAATGAGCCCCACCTGCCCAGAGCAATCTGGTTATAAGGTGCCAGATACTCGCCGTTCACACTCCCATTTTCAACTAAGAACAACTCTGCCATGAGAAGGCAAGCAGTAGTTTAGCTGTCAGAGGCTATACGTTATGCTAATCAGATGAGGCATTTTCTTGGCAATGAGAGCTCACCCCCCAAAGCCACCTAAACTATGACTGCTCTTTAGGATGCGCTGTCTTTCTACAGCTACACGTAAAACTAAAGGTGGGATTAGGGAGATTTTTACAAGTCAAAATAGCAATCTCTTTAGCCGGGATAAGAATGACCTTGTCCCAACAGACGTACCCATTGTTTAGGAGATGACAAGGAGCTATCTGTCATCTGAGGTTCACACTACTCCTGTAGTAGTTCGTTGGTCTGTAGGGCAGTCGCTTTCCTCTATGAGACAGCTCCAGAGCACTGCAGAACCCTTAGCTGATCGTGGCAAACTAATCACCTATTGTTTGGAGAGCAATTTGTTTTGCAACAAAAGCTTTGACAGATGGTTGTCGTTCACCCATAGCACGCTGAATCTTTGTGGGAATGTAATGCTTAATTGTCTAGACAGATTCTGGATCATGTAGCAGAGCAGCTACTTTAGCAATGTATTGGAAGTCAGCCTTTGACATGAAGTGGTGGTTTTCTTTTCAATTTAAAAAAGAAAAACCATAACAAAGCAAGATTGGGAGGTCCAGCATGGTCCTATTTAAAGCAAGCAAGATACGTATAATTCATGAGCTGCCCAAAAGAGAGCCAGAATTTAGATCCAATCTTTCAGTAGGTGCCATTGGTGTCCAAGTGCACTTTGAGAAGATGGTGGCCACTCAATTCTATCTCTTCCCCCGAGAAAGAGGTTGGAGACTAGTCAGTAACTAGTAAACTCTACAGAACCAGAAAAAATGTCCTTGAGGAAGGATGGGGCCTCTGCTTTTGAGTCTAAGTAACATCTTTTGACTTCAGTCATAGCTTTTCTCTACAACCTCATTAAGTCCTTGTGTAGAAGAATAAGGAGCGAAATTTTTCAGAGAAAAAGTATCAGTAGAAGATGTGAAAACCACTGCCTCAGAGCACTTACTGCAAACAGCTCTCGTGAAATTGATCCATTAAAAATCTCCCTTGTGTACCTGATTTTTATTTCATTTTTGTTTGAGAGGCCTCACTTGATGAATTACAGTAGATAAATTTATTCATGTAGATAATTGATCTTCAGCTCATTTTATGAAGGGTGAAACTGCAAACAGAATTAAATTAGTTCTTTTAAAAAAAACATTTAAATTTGTTACTTTTGCTTAATTAATTGAGAAAGCAGTTAATTGGTTTGAAAATGTCCTATCCCTATCATTTCTTTGACATTTATAATGTAATTATTGAGTTTTCCTATGGGTTTTTTTTTTTGGTCAGTTTAAAATGTTTTGCTCCTTTTAGATGGTGCTTCGAAGTTTGAATCAGATGTGCACAAACTTAATTTCCGCATTTTCCCCTAATTAAAGAGGATAGAATGGTTTAATTTTTTTTTACCAGGATCCATTTGATTTGTCTTACTACTTCTCTAAGATTTCTCACGGAGTGCTATATCCTCTGTGGATGAATGGAATCTAGAAATTATATAAAAACTGGAAGTTCTATGGTCAAACTTTTGCTAAGTGGGGGCAGTACGTTCTTGATGGAGTGTCATGGACTATGGAACACAATATTAGAGTGCCAAATGAGCCCTATTGGAGCAGTCTTCAGAGCCTATTGCAAAACCCACCATTTTGCAGATGTATTAGGCTAGAAGGCTAAAAAGCAAATGAGAGAGGCAATTATAAATGAATTTACTCACATGTAGGGAAGGATTCCCAACTTAGATTTGTCCCAGTGAAGTTGAGTATTCAATTTGTTCTAGTATACTGGTTCATGGCAAATTTCTTTTTCCAGAGTGCCCTAATGCCTGCCCAGTTATTCTTCAAGACAGAAGATGGAGGCAAATATCCTGTAATATTTAAACATGGTGATGATTTACGTCAAGATCAACTTATTCTTCAAATTATTTCACTCATGGACAAGGTGATGAACGTTAATCAAGTGTTTCTTAATCTCACTATTAAACATCTGTTTTATTGTTTATACAAGCTGAGGAAATTTCTCTTGGTTAAAACCCAGAAAACACAAAATATTAATGCAGCTTAATTCAGTACTCTTTTATTGTAGCTGTTACATTCCAAAAAATTCCAGTCCTTACAAATATTATTTAATGTCCTCTGTGGACAAAGAAGAAATGAGCAAACAGACTTTCACTTATGCCTTATGACAGATCTGAACTAAGTTTCCTCAAAAGGGAATAAGTTACTGTATTAAACCACAGCACAACCTAGCCTCTTTTAAAAAATGTTTGATTATTTTTAACTGTTCCACTCATGTTTGTGTTTTCCTTCCAGCTGTTACGTAAGGAGAATCTGGATTTGAAGCTAACACCATATAAGGTGCTGGCTACTAGTACAAAGCATGGTAAAGTTATTTCTTTTTTTAAAAAAAACACTGAAAATAATCAGGTATTTGTCTTCCTCAGTTTCACTTACCTGGATGCAGACATTCTCTAACTCAGGCTTCTTGTTAGTGTCACAGGAGGGTACAGCTGACTTCAGGTTGTAAGATTTCTTTATAACAAACTTGGGAAACTTGCTTAAAATCAGATTAGTGTTTATTCTTTACCTTCTATTTCCCCTCTCCAGCTTTACTGTCAAGTGCTTGTTTTGCCTCACCTAGTGCCAAATTGTGAAATACTGGTTGTCATTGTTTCAGAGCTAGCTGCACCTCTGTTCCCTCTCTGATCTTTGAGGATATTTCTACAAAGCAATTGTCATAAATATAAAGGGAAGGGTAAACCCCTTTGAAATCCCTCCTGGCCAGGGGAAAGCTCCTCTCACCTGTAAAGGGTTAAGAAGCTAAAGGTAACCTCGCTGGCACCTGACCAAAATGACCAATGAGGAGACAAGATACTTTCAAAAGCTGGGAGGAGGGAGAGGAACAGAGGGTCGATCTGTGTGCTGCTTTTTGCCAGGGACAGACCAGGAATGGAGTCTTAGAACTTTTAGTAAGTAATCTAGCTAGGTATGTGTTAGATTATGTTTTCTTTAAATGGCTGAGAAAAGCATTGTGCTGAATAGAATAACTATTTCTGTCTGTGTATCTTTTTTGTAACTTAAGGTTTTGCCTAGAGGGGTTTTTTCATGCAGGTCCCCACATCTGTACCCTAGAGTTCAGAGTGGGGGAGGAACCTTGACAGCAATTTAAAAAAAAAAAATGGTGGCATGGCTGTGGCTGGCCCAGATCAGCTCACTTGGGCTTGTGGGGCTCGGATTGCGGGGCTAAAAACTGCAGGGTAGTCATTCGGGCTTGGGTAGGGACCAACAAAAAGTAAAGATGTTACGTTATGAAATGCACTCCAGTAACTTATTTTGACAAGTGTTGAGATTTCATTGAGTAATAGTAAATGTACTGTGTTATGCTTAGTAAAAATAATAAATCTCCGTAATAGGAAACCTTACAACTAAATTTAGGATGAAAACTAGTAAGTTCTTCTAGTGATGATCCCTATATGGATTCCAGACATGGGTGTGCATGTGCGCCATGTGCAAGAGCTATAAGTGGACGTGCATGTCGATGCTGTTCCAGTTCCATCTTACCACCGTGTGGCCAGAGTCGGAACCCCTGTTCCTTGCTGCTCTTAGGTCTGCTAAGAGAACTTTTATCTGTTTATTCTCACCTGTATATAATTGCTAGCATGTTCTCGCTGGATCGAGTAGTTCTTGTACACTTTTAGAGTAGCAGCCATGTTAGTCTGTATCCGCAAAAAGAAAAGGAGTACTTGTGGCACCTTAGAAACTAACAAACTTATTTGAGCATAAGCTTTCGTGAGCTACAGCTCACTTCATCGGATGCATTCAGTTTTAGTTATTTAGGCTCCCCTGTCGGACTTCTTCCCCTGGAGGGGAGACAGTACCTCCTCTCCCCACACCGCTGGGATTATGCCCCGACAAGCTAGCTTGAAGAACTGTGCTTTGTGCCTGCTCTTCTTCTCCATGAGCGTCAAGCACCAGCAGTGTCTCGGTGAAGTCTACGTCCTCATCCACTGTTCCATCTGCTGCTCATTCCTGGCTCGGACTCGGGAGGGTAGGGAACTCGCCTCCGCGTGTTCCTCGTGGAGGAAGCTATGTGTGCAGTTGGATTCACTGGAATGGTGCCCATCAATATTGGTGAGTGACCCTCTGGCTTTCTCCCGCCTACTGGAACCCTACCTACTGTTGCATCCGCTGAAGCCCCACTGTGAGAATTAGAAACCCAGACATGGACATAAGGGCGCCTCCCCGATGGGGACTGCTCCTAAGCACAGCGTTGCCTCCCCGAGCCGTGCCCAGTCGGGTGAGAAGTAACATGCCGAGCCGGCTGCTGCGGCTCCTAAGAAGCCCTGGACAGAGCATAAGATGAAACACTAATGCAAGCCATAGGTGCTGCTTCCCACCCTGATTCCCAGTCTGCCGCCATCTTCACCGCCGGCACCATCTATGCCACTGGGCCCTTTGAGACTGGCACGCCCGGCTCCCACACTCCAGGCTGCCTGGAACTGCTGATGCCCATAGCCAAGTTCATTCTCCCATATGCTAGTTCCCTATCTGCGGACGCTTCATGCTTACCTCTCCAGCGGATGAACCTCTCCTACTCCTTCCGGAGTGGCGCTCCTCTTCCACCCACACACCAACAGCTCCACCTCTACCAGATCAATCCTCTGAGTCTGAGTGGTTTTCCAAGCCAGACCCCTTCTCTCCTGCACGTTCTCACAGCCCGGATTGTGGGCATTACCCACCCTAGCCATATGCCTATGACCCTTGCACTGTGCCGTGATTCCATTGCCCCAGGGCCCGCCAATGCGTGGCGAACCCTATGCTTGGCCCTACTGGCCTCCATGGGACCCCACGTAGAATGTGGGCTACCACTGCTGCCATATTACCAGCCATCCCCTGCTTGCACCATGTCCCCCTCTGGGTATGATGAACAGGAGGAAGAGGTCATCGTGCAATTGGTGCCGCTGGTCGTACCCGGACAAGGCATTAATTCCACTTTCTCTCTCCCCTGTGGATGACCATCACCAGTACCACAACCTGCTTCGGCGCATGGCGGAGGCTGTCAACCTTATGGTGGGAAAAGGTCCAGGACCTGCAAAACAAACTTTTGGATAGCCTCCTGCCACCTGGACCCTCCCTCACTGCTTTCCCTAGCCACTTAACCATTCTACAACCAGCACAGACAGTTTGGCACATGCCCACCTCCTATGCCCCTACTCTGAAGTGCCCCTGGAGATTCCTCCCATTGCAGTCTCCTACAAGAGGAAGCAGATGCCCTGCTCCGGAAGGGCACCATAGAGCGTATTTCCTGCTGTTATCATGGCTGAGGGTTCAATTCCCCCTATTTCCTTATTCCCAAGAAAGGGGTGGCCAGTGGCCCAATCTGGACCTCCAGTTGCTCAACAAGCTCACCCGTAAGTTCTGATTCTGGATGGTCATGCTGCCCCTACCTTATTCCGTCCCTCCCCTGAGGCTTCTGGTTCATGGCTCTCAATATGAAGGATGCCTATTTTCACATTGACATCCACCTGGCTCATCAGAAATTTCTCTGTTTCACCGTGAGGCACTCCCATTATCAGTTCCGGGTCCTCGCCACTGATATTGCCACCGCTCCACATGTGTTCAAAAAGATTTTCACCGTCATCACCACCTACGTACACCACTTCTGCCACTCTGTGTTTCCCTGCGTGGACAATTGGATCCGCATTGCAACATTGCACACCTGCCTCCTTTCCCCTATCCACGCCCTTCATGATCTCCTCATCCACCTGGATATCTATATCAATGAGGAAAAATCAGTCCTCAACCCTACCCAAGCAATCACTTTTACTGGGGCTCACTTGAACTCTATCGTGGGCCGCACTTCCCTCCTGACGGATCTCTTTGCAGCCCTCATCTCTCTCTCATATGGTCCTGGCACCTTCAGCTGCTCTTCAACTACATGATGGCAGTTGTGTATATCAACAAACAAGGTGGTGCCAGGTCGCCCTCTCTCTGTGCAGAACCTTTCACCTCTGGAACTGATGCATCAAGCATGGGATCACACTGCACACCGTGCACCTTCCTGGCAGACACTTTCAGCAGGTCCTTCTACACGAATCATGAGTGGGAGATCCATGATCCCATGCTTCACTCCATCTTACACTGGTGGGGCACCCCACATTGGGACCTCTTTGGGATTTTGGAGAACTGCAAATTCCTCCTTTTATCCTCCAGAGGGACCCTTGGGATGGGCTCGTGGGGCGAAGCCCTCCTCCTGCCCTGGACCTCCAAAGTCTGCTACGCCTTTCCACTCGTCCCTCTGCTCCCGCAAGTCCTGTGCAAGGTACGAAAGGATTGAACAATGATCAACCTGATTGCCCCCTTTTGACCTCGCCAGTACTGGTTCACCGACCACCTCCACCTCTCCGCTTTTCCTCCGATCCACCTTCCATCCATCCACCAACCCCCCGTGGATGGTTCCTCTGTCTTCACTCACCTGACCATCGCTTGCTTCCTTAAAGGCTTGCTCAATGCCTGTCTGCTGGAACTCCATCTTGGAACATGTACATCATCCTCTCTGCCCTCACTAAACATCCCTTTGAGCCCCTCCTGATCTGTTCCCTCGCCCACCTCTCCATGAAAGTGATCGTCACCTCAATGAGGCGCATGAGCACCTTCACTACTTGCTACGCCATTCCCTCGGCGGTGGTGGTGGATGCGGCTGTCGGCCGAGCGGTCCTCCAGACTATAACTTCACACGACGCCACGCACCCACCTTCATGCTGAGCACTGCTCGCCACTCTCCCATGTCTAAAATCCATATAGGGACCATCACTTGAAGAAGAGAAGGAGGAGGTTACTTACTGTAACTGGAGGTTCTTCAAGATGTGTGGTCCCTGTTTGGATTCCAATACTGCCCTTCATGCCCTCTTCTGCAGACTCCATTTCTTTCAGATAAGAGGGATACTGAAGTGGCGTTGACCCGCACAGCCTCTTATAGCAGACATGCAGATGACGCACGTGTGGGTCAACAGACACTACCGAACAGTTTTGGTTCTGGTGCATGTGCACCCATGTCTGGATTCCAGACAGGTACCACACATCTTGAAGAACCTCCAGATGAAGTAAGTAACCTCCTCTTTCTCCTATATTTGTACCATTGCAGTCTTTAAAATGTCTCATGATCCAGTTGTATTGAAGTTCACTAGAATCTGCTGTTTTCATACCATTTTGTTCTATCATTATGATTCTTAAAACAGGTAGTCATAATCTTTACTTGCATCTGATGAAGTGAGCTGTAGCTCACGAAAGCTTATGCTCAAATAAATTGGTTAGTCTCTAAGGTACCACAAGTACTCCTTTTCTTTTTGCGAATACAGACTAACACGGCTGCTACTCTGAAACCTGTCAATCTGTACAGTCTTCTATAGAAGGGTCTATTTTTATTCATAACAAGAATCAAGAGACTCAAGTTATAGTTCCAACTTTATTGCTAGCTTGCTGCCTAGCCTGGGCAAGTCATGTAAAATTTCTATGTGCTTCTCTATGCAAAAAATGGGTATAATGGCTACCTTCTTAACAGGATGTGACAGTTTGTCCCCTCTGAATGCCACCAGATGTGCTTGGATCCCACTGAGTCAGCCTATTCTTACAGCCTGGGTCCCCTTTACCTGGTTTTGCTGGGGTAGGCTCACAAGCCTCTTCCAGCCAAGCACACAGGCAGCGCCACACCCAGCTGCACAGAGAGAGCGATCCGCTCTGGAAAGATTCAGCCTTAGCGGCTTTCCCCAGCACTCTGGTCCCCACTCCCTTTAAGGGGTACAAATCCAAAGGTTTTATGAAATTTGCCCCCTCCCTCAATGTGGAGGAAGATCTACACAACCTCTTCCCTCCTCCCCCCCCCCCCCGTTACAAATTACATAAACTGAATTATATTATAAAAAAAAAGAAATACGTTTATTAACTAAAAGGTGAATTTTAAATGGTAAAGAGGTAGCAAACAGAACAAAGCAAATTACCAAACAAATAAAGCACTAAATTTGATTCACTAAAGGAATTGGTTACAAATAGTAATTCGTCACCCAAGATAGTGTCTTAGGTAGATTCCTTCACAAGCCAGGTATCTTTCCAGCCTGGGTCAAGCAGCTGTGTAGTTGTGACAAGTATATTTAAAATTTACTGCAGGCTATATGTTTACTGGCAAAACCTTGCTTGCTGAGTGCAGTGGAATAAAAGGTGCATAGCTTTATTTCTTCACCAAAGTTATTCTCTACTTATTTTACACCTTCAAGTACTGAAGATACTGCTTTCTTATCACAGGTTTCATGCAGTTTATTCAGTCAGTCCCTGTTGCTGAAGTTCTTGCTACCGAAGAAAGTATACAGGTATATGATCTGGTGTCTCTTCTTTTTTTGTTCATTTGGGGACAGTGTCTTCATATTGCTGATCTTTTGCATGAGTATGCAGCATGGATATTTAATGACTAAAATTAATATTGTTGAAGAATTCAGGGCAAGACTCAATTAGTTTTGACACTGAAACTCTGTGCTTTACTGATTAATTGAAACTGATAGTTATGGGTCTCGTTCTGTACTGGTTTTTTTCTAGTTTTAGGTCTGCTATAGGAGTTCATAGTAGCAAAAGCTTTAGAACAGTCAGTTGAGATACATACCAGTGTTTTTTGTTACTGAGACCTCCCACACTAGCATCAGCTTTTTGGATACCACGATCAGCTTCAACAATGGAACCCTACGGACAACCATATACAAGAAAATCCACTCATCAGCACACCTACCTTCATAGATCCAGTAACTACCCCAAACACACCAAGAAATCTGTTATCTACAAACAGACACTCAGATATTACAGAATATGCTCCAAAGAGAAAGTCCAGGATGCACACCTTAACATGCTCAAAACCACCAACCAAAGACACTTCACCAGGGAAGTAGATTGCATCATGGAACACACCACCCAAATACTTTGAGAACCTGCTTCAAGACAGAAATAATACCCCTCCAACTGTACACCCTTATTTGTCACCTACTAGCTCACACTGGAACCCATACATCGTTTCATCAGACAACTGCAACCTACACTCGAGGGGGACCCCATCCTGAAATAAATCTTTCATGATCCCTCACTTCTGGCCTTCAAACAACCTTCTCTCCTCAAGCCCCCCCCCCCCCACACACACACACATATGCGCGCACGCACCTCTCCAAGCTCATCGTCATAAGCAAGCTCCCCACAGACCAGGACATGCCAACTCAAAGTAGCATCGGACCTTACCAGAAGAACAGATGAAAAACCTGCAGACATATTGCCACTGCTAGAATGATAAACACCCCCCACAGCATACCTTTCAAGATCAATGGATCCTACATGTCTATCACAACATGTGGTGTACCTCATCAAGTGCACTAAATGACCCTATAACAACTATGTAGGTGAAACCAGACAATCATTACATTCCTGAATGAACTCTCACAGGAAAATGATAAAAGACAAAAATACCATATGACCTGTGGGTGAACACTTTTCATAAAACATAAAACAATTACTTTGTCTGACCTGTCTGCCCTTGTCCTCAAAGGAAACGTGCACAACACTTTCAAAAGATGAGCCTGGGAGCTTAAATTCATAACTCTGCTAAACATTAAAAATCATGGACTGAACACAGACATGGGATTTATGGCTTATTACAAAATCTATAACCTGCTAACCCCCTCTTTTTGTCCTGTGATTGTAGAGGTCACAGGCCGCTCTACCCTGAATCATCCCTTAGATTAGAATACGTGCTAACTACTTATGCTGAACAATTTATTCCACCTTGCATTTTAGATGTGACACTGAGTACCTTTACCTGAAGAAGAGCTCTGTGTGGCTCAAAAGCTTGTCTTGCCACCAGAAGTTGGTCCAATAAAATATATCACTTCACCCACCTTCTTTCTCTAATATCCTGGGATTCTACACTACGTACACTACACTAAATTCCCAAGGCATACCAGAGCAGGACTTTCTCCTGTACAGCACTTCAAAAGCCTGCACTTTTATACATTACAATATCGACAAGGGCCCTTCACTTCTGTATCCTGGCCATTTTCAGCAATGTAGGGTACTAACCAGTTAACGGATAACTTTGCTGCACATCCTTGAATGGCTTTTCTTTAGGTGATTACTTCATGAAAAAACTCCACTTCTCAAGTTCAATACATGATTTTCCAATGTTCCTAACTTGGCAAAATCAAAACCAGTCTCCTTCAGAAGGCAGTTATGGACTATCTTGATAAAAGCTTAATTCCATTCCAAATTTCAGCTTTAAACCTTGTGACTACTTCTATAAAAAATACTAGATTTGTTTGTTTTGAGTGGAAGTAAGCGGCATAAAGTATTAGTGCATAATTTGTCTAATGTTCATCACATTATTCTAAGATGTTACTCAACTTTTAGATTAATTTGAATTGCTAGTGCTGTTTAGCTTTTTCTAGTCTAGCAGAAAAATATATTTACTATGGAAGCATTTTTGATGCTCATGGTAATCATACAATAACTCTGCAATGCAAATTTAATTTTATGGGTTATTTTAAAGGAAGAGCACTTCAATTTGTGACAGTGATTTTAAATCTGTTTCTGCTTTGGTGAATAAGAAAATGCGAACGGAGATCTAAACTGTAGCATGAAAACATAACTTGCTACATTTTTTTGTTTGTTTAACGTTCTCTGTCAACTTTGAACATAACACATTCTTGAATTCAACCTTGACATTCTTATAAGTTTCAAGATTAATACCAGAAGTGTCTCTTCACAGAGTATGGTAATAGATTTACCAAGGACATAAACTGCTAACTTTTCTATCTTCCCTGAAGTTAGTTTAAAGCTTTATGGGATAAGTAAGTTTTTTGATGTCCTTCCAGAACTTCTTCAGAAAACATGCGCCAAGCGAGACTGGTCCTAATGGGATAAGTGCAGAGGTCATGGACACTTATGTTAAAAGTTGTGGTAAGTTTATTACAAATGTTTACTTGCTGATTAGATGTGCCACTATTGGCACAAAGGACAGTAGTGTGCCACTATTGGACCTGTAGAGTTAGTAATATTCAGATGCATTGTAGGTAGAATTTATTAAAAAATAGTGATTGATATTTTTAACTTTTCTCATTTTTCAAGTACCTGAAATGAGAGGAATTCATCATTTAAGTAGTATAGTATCACAGTGATCCTGATAAATATTGGTTAACCAATGAATACTTAGATTTCCCAAACATATCTTGCAATCATGTATTTTCCTGTCTAACAACATGATGGCAGTGTGACGGGTTAGGCCCCTTAGGAAGCCCCCTGATGTGCTGATATACCACTGAGTCTACCTGTTCTGCCAGCATGGGCCCCCTTTAACCTGTCTTGCTGAGCCAGGCTATTAAAGCCTCCTTTAACACACACACAGGTAGGGCCACACCCAGCTGCAGATCAGCTCTGGGAAGATTCAGTTTAAGGGACTTGCTTCAGCACTCAGGTGTCCACCTCCCTTGGAGTGCAGACCCAAAGGTGTGTTATGAAATCTGCCTCCTCCCTCAATGTGGAGGAAGGTATGCACAACTTCTTGCCCCTCCCCCCCAGTTAGAAATTATAGAAACTGGGTTTTATTATTATATTAAACAAATGTTATTAACTACAAAAGGCAGATTTTAAGTGATAAAAGGGGTAGCAAACAGAACAAAGCAGATTACTAAGCAAGTGAAACCAAACACACAAACTAAGCTAGTTTCACTAAAGAAATTGGTTACAAATAGTATTTCTCACTCTAGATATTGTTGCAGGCAGATTACAGAAAGTCTTGAAAGGCTGCTATATTGGTCTCTCTCTTGAGACCTCAGGTATTATTACTCACAAGCTAGACGCTCTTCCAATTTGTTTTTGGTTTTGTTCAGAAAAATTATTCCAGTGATTTTTTTTTCCCCTCCAAGTCTAATGTTAATAGTGTGAGCATTGTTAGCATTAGGGACTCATTGATGACTTAGTTGTAACTTCACTGTCACCATAAGATTATAGGAGCCAAGTGTGAAAGCAGTATAACACTGGCAAATAGAATTGTGTAAACGATACTATTTGCAGGACTTTAAAATATTTATTTTAGTTTCACTTTCATGGTGTATTAAATCATTCCCTGCTGATCTAATGTTGGAAGAAATAAGGTGACTTTCAGATTTTAAGCATATGTAGCCTTGTAAATGTACATACAACTGTACAGTATTAGATTTTAAGATTTCATTAATACATAAGAAGATACCCACTACATTTCTCTTTGCATTTCATTTTATTTCAAAAGTTGTTCTTTATACTCCCTATGTTCTTGCTTTCCCAGTTTATCCGTTTTTCAAGAATTAAGCTAATGGCAAACCTACTACTATGAACAGTATGGAACACAGGATATCCAGGATATGGAATATTTTTGATTGTTTATAATTTACTTGTCATTGCAGCTGGTTATTGTGTTATTACCTATATCCTTGGAGTTGGAGACCGACATCTGGATAATCTCTTGCTAACAAAAACAGGTATTTAAAAAAAAAAATCATCAAATACTGCTACAGTATAACTTTGCAAATATATCTTGGCCTAATGTTTTGTTGAATTTTATTTTATGGACACTCTAACATCCAACAAGTGATAGTTGTGGATTAGACTTTTTTTTTTTAATGTTAAGGCTACATCAGACGATCTAAAGTTGACTTGTTAGTAATTTATAGCTTGAGATTGAACGTATTAGTGAGGTAGCAAGTAGGGAGCAGACTGCATCATGCATAGAATTAAATACTTATTTCACCATGTAAAATGAGTGCATGTTGGATACTGATGTCAATGGAGAGGTATATAATGGGAGTCTAGTAATTGCAGTTAAATACCAATATTCTTATACACAATACATTTTCTCTCCACTTTTCAGTTTATACTGTTGTGCCTATCCTACATACATTCTTGTGTGTTTAAAGAAAAACTAGAATTCATAACTAAAAGTGGCATGGAAACGAATTATTTTTTTCTTTACAGGCTAATGTACAAACAATGCAATAATACTGAAATTCCTGTTCTGTGCAAATTAAGGACTGCTAAAAATTTTGTCAGTTACAAAATTGGTTGACTAAAATGTGCATTTCTGGAAAGCAACACTCAGCAGATTAAAATGAAATTGAGTTGCTTATTGTAACTGCCTCTCTGATTAATTTTGTCCTCAAAACAGGAAATTTGACACTGATAACTTAGACCTTTCAAGTTTTAGCTGAAACGTTAGGAAAACAATGATGAAATTAATGGGTAATTACTAATTAGAAAGTAATGCTGGCTCCAAAAATCCTAATTGTTCTTTATAAAATTGTTTAATTTTTCATAGGCTCTTTCACACAGTCTCAAAGCAATTTCAGGATCTATTAATTGTGTGCCCGTTGTAAAAAGACTTTTTGCAGACAAATTTGGCAGCTATTATACACTCAGCTGCATTCCAAATACAGTACAAGTTTAAACGTGTTTTTTTAGTACTAGTTATATTGATATTCGACCATCTTGATTATTACACCAAGGTATCCCTGCTCATTCCTGCGGTTCTAATACTGTTTTTAACCTAAAAGTGGTTCCATGTGTCCTTCTGTCAATTCCTAGAAGGGGTCGGCAACCTGTGGCATGCGAGCTGATTTTTACTGGCATGCTGCTACCAGCCGGGGTCCCGGCCCCCAGTCTCACTCAGCCCACTTCCTGCCTGGGTGAACGGAACCCCAGGCTGGCAGCAGTCTGAGCGGGGCCAGCGGTCGGGACCTTGGCTGGCAGGAGCCGGCGGACGGGACCCCAGACCGGCAGCTAGCTGAGCTGCTCAGCCCACCGCTGGTCTGGGATTCTGTCCGCTGGCCCTGCTCAGCCCGCTGACAATCTGGAGTTCCGGCTGCCGGCCCTTTGCCAGCCGGGGTCTTGGCTGCCGGCCTGAGTGAACGGAATCCCCAGCCAGCAGTGGGCTGAACGGGGCTGGCAGCTGGGACCCTGGCTGGCAGGAGCTGGCGGAACCCCAGATTGGCAGTGGGTGAGCCGCTGCTGGTCTGGGGTTCTGTCCGTCACCCAGCTCAGCCCGCTGACAGTCTGGGGTCCCAGCCGCCAGCCCCTTGCCAGCCGGGGTCCTGGCCACCGGCCCCACTCACCTCGCTGCTGGTCTGGGGTTCCAGCCGCTCGGCCCCCTGCCAGCCGGGTCTGGGCCTCCGGCCCTGCTCAGCCCTCCTGCTGGCTTGGGGTACTGGCAGCCAGCCCAGGGCTCTGTTCCTGGCCTGGGCCCAGCTCTCTGCAGCCTTTATAAAAAAAAATTGCACTACAGTTAGCTTAAAAACTCAGCCCGCTGCCTACCTGGGTGAACGGAACCCCAGGCCAGCAGCAGGCTGAGCGGGGCCGGTCGCTGGGACCCCACTGCATGCATCCGATGAAGTGAGCTGTAGCTCACGAAAGCTCGAAAGCTTATGCTCAAATAAATTTGTTAGTCTCTAAGGTGCCACAAGTACTCCTTTTCTTTTTGCAGATACAGACTAACACGGCTGCTACTCTGAAACCTTAAAAACTTGAAAACTTAAAAACTTTGTATATTACAGTAATTGTTAAATGTATAATGTTAATAAATACGTAGGTTTGATGAAACAAAGTAGTTGTACTTATGTGCCTGTGCTTAATTTGTGTTTTCGATGATTTACCTTCTCAAAAAATCTTGCATGTCTCTCACCTGCAGGGAGTGCGTGCGCCCCAGGTTAAGAACCACTGCACTTAACTGATAAGATCAGCATTTTAATTTAATTTTAAATGAAGCTTCTTAAACATTTTAAAAACCTTGTTTATTTTACATACAACAATAGTTTAGTTATATAATGTAGACTTATAGAGAGAGAGCTTCTAAAATCGTGAATGTATTACCGGCACGCAAAACCTTAAATTAAAGTGAATAAATGAAGACTTGGCACACCACTTCTGAAAGGTTGCCGACCCCTGTCCTAGAATCTTAAATGCATGTCTAAAATCCTTAATATTTTTTCTCAGTGTTTCTAACGCATGTTGTTATAATTATACAGGCAAAGGTATAACAATTATCTGAAATGCATGTTTAAAAAACCCTGTGCATTAAAATTGAGAGAGAGAGATTCTGGAAACTTTCATAAGCAAAACTTTTTTAAAAAAGCAAATTAGGCAATGGCAGAAGTTTTAAAAACAATAGGCACGTGTGTTTGAAAATGTTTACAATTGAATTGGACTCACCAAATTGTGCACTAGCTAGCCTTTGTAAATATAGAGCTATCCTTTTTAAACACATTCTTCCTACCTACCCTTCTGTACCCTGTTGTTTGTTAAACTTGTTGCATCCTGTCTTAATTGCTGTAGCTTGTAAGCTCTTAGAGGCAGTGACCATATAATATAGTTGTAGTGGTTTATAGTTAAGCATGGTCATTGTCTCAATTACACTGTTCCTGGTAGGGTAGTTTAGCCCTCCCGCAAAACCTTACCTCTTCCCTTTCTGAGGTAAACGAGTCCAACAGAACTGAAGTCCACAAACCTTCACCCCTTGGTGCATTGCTAAACTTTGATGGTGCAGGGGTTCACAGGCAGTTCTTTACTAAACACACACATCACATTCCTTCCCAGAGTTCTTATCCTCCTGCCTGCTTCTTGGCCCTCCTCTCCAGTTATTCCACAAGCTTTTTTCCCTTTAGGTTCCCTCTATGCTTTCCTCTCAGCTGGAGTCACTTCACTTCATGTTCTCTCCCTGTTCTGAGAAGGTTACTTATGGTCCCAACCCCTTTCCTAGAAGCTTTTGCTCTCAACCTGAGCACCCTAGAACTTGCAAGTCCCAGAATGCGTTTGATGTGGGCTTCAACAGTAACGAGTGTACTGGGCCTTGGTTTGGGCATGTCTTTAAAGAGCCAGTACACCCTGAGACATGTTCTTTGTAGAACACTTAACAAAAAAGCTCCCTATTCCTGATTGCAACCTCTTTGCATTGTTAATTATATAATAGTTGAAGTCAATCTGAGATCCAGAAACTCAGCACCTATGAATATCTAGGTACTTAGTCTAACAATTGGGACCCAAAATAAAGAGGCAATTTCTGAAAATGTTAGCTTCACTTCAGTTGTTCTCTGTAAAAGGTGGGTAGTATGTATTACTTTCCAGAGAGTATGAGGCTTCAATAAATAAGGGCAGAGAGTTAAAGCCAATCAGCTGGGGAGATGGGAACAGAACTTCAGACCACTAGACTCCCAAACCTGTGCACATTTCCTTGGAGAGGGTATTTTTATAGGGACAGGTGTGGAGCATTCAGCTGTCACGTAGTTTTCTAGCTAACAGAGTATGACCTTTCTTAGCTGCCTCCTTTATGAGCTTAGCAGTTACCCATGCAAAATGTTCTCCGTATTCACAGAATGATTTTCAAAGGCTCATAACTCCAAAAAAAACCAAAGCTAATTTTCGGAAAGGCTTAAAGGCAATTAGGACTATCTCCATGCCAAATATCACCTTTCTACCTTCAGTTGTTACTTCTATAAAGTTGACCTTTTTTATTATGAAGAAAGTGTATTTTTCGTCATATATTCAAACAGAGGAACATTTTCTTATTCTCTCCTTACCCTCCACCCCTCAAAAAAAAAAAAAAAAAAAGTACCTTGGACATAAACCTAGCATTGAGATTTTGAGCCTGAAAGATGATCATTTTCTGAAGCCCCAGACTGTTGAAAGTGACATTACCATGGGAAGTGTCATGCAACCTTAACCATAGCAGGTCACAGTTAGCACCCCATTTTGATAGTTGTCAAGGTTTTGTGAAGTTGGAATGTGTGGGTGATGTAAATAAATGTATTGTTATTTCTTCATTGTCACCCTAAATCTGGTCAAACACAGTTCCTGAATTGCAGAGATTAGTTAAATTCCAATATGTCAAATTTGTTTACTGAAGAATGTAAGGCTTCTAGCATTCAATTTATAATTTCCCTAATTACATAGCATTTTTCCAGCCTGACTCTTTAAGTCCACCTGATAACATTTTATTATAAGTATAAAAACATAATTAGCATAGTGTATGTTTCTGCTATTTTATTAGACCTCAAACAGGCTGGTGTAGTAAAAGGATTTGGGGACCAAACCAGTTACAATGGCTTTACCCATTTCAATTTATGGCAAATAAAATGTAGGTCTATGGTCTTGACTGAACTTTAGGTAACTTGAGCTAGTCACACACCATTTATGATGATCTGGTATCTACATTATGTTTAACAAGTCTGAAGAGTTTCCAAATTCTTACATGTGTCTGGAAGTGTGTTGTAAGACGATGGTTTTCAACCTTTTTTTTTCATTTGCAGACCCCTAAAAAAATGTCAGGTGGAGGTATGGACTCCTTTGGAAACCTTAGACATAGTCTGAGGATTCCCAGGGGTCCACCGACCACAGGTTGAAAACCACAGTTGAAATATATTGGTTTAACTTCCTTACATTCATTAAATACCCACCATCTGGAATTTGACATTTACCCAAAGCCCCTCTCTCATAA